GTCGCCGTATCCACTCGTTAAATACGTCTACATTAGAATATCATTAGAATGGCAATTGACCTTGGATGTTTACTTTCTACGTCGTGTATGTTTTGTTCAGTACCTCAACATTAGAAACAAAATATACGATGTGACATGATATGGGAAAGGGGGTTTAAAGTCCTATTTGTCTGCACCAATCCAAGTTGTGAGAACAGACTGAATAAAACACAGATCCTATTTCGTTTCGTTTTTTTATAGTTCAAAATGTCGTTTTACTTGTCTTTACTACACTAGGATCTGGAAGCACAGACGCCGGCAACGTGGAAAATATTTCAAAAATAACATTAAACTCTGACTAAGTATAATGTCTAAAGTCTGTTACGTCCATGTTCTTAAGCAAGATTATTGAATAACTGGTCTGATTCCGTTTTCTAACTGAGGGGCAAATAACTTGTCTGAAACCCATTCTCGGTAGTTGAGAAACGTGTTGGAATAAAATAATTGGAATCAAAGTTCACTACTCTAGATTCCGTCCATCAGTGGCGATGACGTTTTAAAATTGTCCACGAACATGGACGTAACAGACTTTAGACATATACTTAGTCATAACTTGATATTATTTTAGAAATATTTTTCACGTTACAGATGTCTGTGTCTGGAAAAGTTGTTATATAACCCGCGTTCTGGATGATGTGCGGGATTAGCCAATGAAACAGTTTGTTATGGCGAGTTTTTGATGTGAGGTGCACTGAACTTTGGGTAAACCACTAGAGACGTCAACGCTAATTGATTAATCAACGTCAGGCGTCATAAGGTAAAAACACCCGACACGACCTTGCACTAGAACTGGTCAGATTTCCATGTAGTGTGGCCATCGAAAGTATAAAAAACGAAACGAAATATAGATCTGTATAAATGTTATTGTGCTTGATAACGATAAGAGGATACTTGTCGAAACGTCGTGCTTTAAGAATAAAACCAGTCATTGTTTGCCATTAAAATTGTGTACTACTGGGTTTTTTTACGTGCAAGCCAACCGTACAATATCCCTTGGATTTGAATGACTAGGCACTGTTTCGTGCCAGTCCCACCCGCCCTACACATGGGGGAACTCGTTCAACGCCGGGATCGAATCCGGCTGGCGAGCCATCGCCTTACTCACTGAGCCACCGTGGCTCCTCAGTCGAACAACAGACAGATTTAATTTGAATGAAATAGGGTTTAACATCCTACCTTTCTGCACGCTTTGGGCTAACTAAGACGGGCATATACCTTGCAGTGTGATACTCGGACAATTTTGCCAGGATAGCAGTATTTCTGCCTAGTCCTAATCGATTATTTTACGTGGGAGGGTAGTCCCTAACTCCTATTTATTTACAACAATTATTAGGATTAGTTAAGATTCTATCTGTATAAAACAATGTACAAATTAAAACACAAACACTTATGTTTACTTTTTGAAATCCATTTATAATACACAAAATGTGATCAAGTTTTGTTTCATTTGGATCCTCCTCATAAAAATTCCCCTACTAAACTCTCTTTGTCGTGTTGTTCATAATTCAAGCGTAACATTCAATATGTAAAAGTCATGAAAAAAATAGCACCCCCTGACTTAAACATGATAAACATTGTATTGGTGTGATGTTTTAGTTTAACCCCGTAAAATATGTCAAAACAGTGTTTACAGAAGATTGAAATTTTTTTATGGGCCCCACAGTGGGAGGGTGACCCTCCCACACTCTCCCTATCACTCTCCGGCGTCACAGATTGTCAACATTTTATATAATTTCATTTGCGGACCCCCCACCCCCCAATATATATTTCACGGCTACACCTCTGCCTATTGAGTCCACGACCTAATGGCCCCTTAACCCCCCCCCCCCCCCTCGCGCTACATCGGCTGCGTGACTCCGGCGTCACAGATTGTCAACATTTTATATAATTTCATTTGCGGACCCCCCCCCCCCCCCAATATATATTTCACGGCTACGCCTCTGTTATTGAGTCCACGATCTGGTGCGCGCAGATACGTTCGGATACGTCTCGTTACGATGAACACGATTGCGACGACTGATCACCACGATTAAAACCTCGATTTCATTCGCAACACTAATCGTGATAGTGGGAACATACCATTAGGTGGCTGACCAAACAATCGTCGCGGAGTATGGAGGCCTCACCCTCCCGGAGATAATTTTGAAAATTTAACTGCCGCAAATGAGTTTTTCTGCTATTCTATTTTGGCAACTAAATGAATTTTTTTTCACCTTACCCGTCTGCTCGAAAAGTAAGATTGCCTGAAAGTGAGGAGGGAGCTGCCACCCCTGCCCCCCCCCCCTGGCTCGTATGCCTATGCATGTACTCAAATTATAGCCACACATGTGAACGCCTGAGTGCTTGTGTCTTTCTTTGCTTATTTGTTTATTGAATTTGATGTATTCAGTGGCGCTGTGCATGAACAATACATGTATGTATGCATGTATAACCACAGTCATACATGAAGTAAATGACATAAACACATAATACAAATTGTTATTTTCAGAATGTTCTTTGAAAGAGATAAGTTTTCACTCATAAAAGGTTTATTTACATTTTTGATTTCGGTTTCCAGAGAACTTTTCCTAATAACTTTGACCCTAACTACCAATTGCCGTTTGCTAAAAACTCTTTTATTTTAGCGATCCGTTAAACGCTAAAGGATCTTTATCTTGCTAATGGCCCCAGAACGACTTATTATTTCAGTAATGTTAAATTTCGTATGGTCTATTAATATTGGAAATTGAATCTAAATATTTCTCACAATATTTAGTTTAATTTTTAATCTCAGCGTTTTAGTGAATATACTTCTCTGAAATTGTACCAATTCTAAGAATATCAACTTTCAGTTTAATTCGCGGAAAAGTAATTACTCATAAAAGGTTTATTTACATTTTTGATTTCGGTTTCCAGAGAACTTTTCCTAATAACTTTGACCCTAACTACCAATTGCCGTTTGCTAAAAACTCTTTTATTTTAGCGATCCGTTAAACGCTAAAGGATCGTTATCTTGCTAATGGCCCCAGAACGACTTATTATTTCAGTAATGTTAAATTTCGTATGGTCTATTAATATTGGAAATTGAATCTAAATATTTCTCACAATTTAGTTTAATTTTTAATCTCAGCGTTTTAGTGAATATACTTCTCTGAAATTGTACCAATTCTAAGAATATCAACTTTCAGTTTAATTCGCGGAAAAGTAATTAAAATTACTGCATACTGGTTGATCTAGATAGGCAGTAGCCACCTTTGTGAAAGAGTATATATTTAATCCAAAATTGAACATAAACATTTGTCAGAATATCTACTTTCCTTTTTAGTGAATATATTTCGCTTAAATTTGATCATGTCTAAGAATATTGATAATTCATTCAAGTCCTTTGTAAATAAAAAGATCCGTGTTTAGTGTATAACTATTATTGAAAAACTTGACCTAGATACCTAGAAGATTATATAAGTTTAGAGAGACGGATATAAAAAGCGCAGACAGTAGTTCCTTCTATTTATACTTATACCCATACTTTTTCTCGACTCTTTGATGAAAATGGGATGGTATACATCGATACACAGCCACTTTTCAACTGATACACGGCCACTCAGTTGAAAAGTGGCCGTGCATCAGTTGAAAAGGGACAAAAATAACAAAATCATGATTTACATATTTATTTGAACATCTACAACCCGTTTTGAACATGTTATGGTAAAAGAGTCATCATTTTCAACTGTCTCAGCACTTTTCGAATGTGCGTCACTCTCAGTCATATTCTTACATTTTGTCTCACATTTCTTTACATTTTGATATCTAGTCGCACTTTCACATTTTTTCGCACTTTCACATTTTGTCGCGGCTTATGCTCATCCGCAGTACATAATCCAAATATTTTACTATAATAAATTAATCTCTTGGCATTTTCAACACTAAAAACTTTCACATTTTGTCGCGGTTTATGCTCATCCGCAGCACGTAATCCAAATATATTACTTAATCCATTGGCATTTTCTACACTACAAACTTGAGAACTCTACAATTCCAACTCGTCTTCATTTAATGGCTGTTCTTGTTTTTGTCTGTCAGTGGATGTCGCGAAGTTAATGAATTGATCTGTGCGGATATTAGCAAATGTACCTTTTGTATTGATCTCGAAGTGTCACCATATTCCTATGCAATTGGTATTTTTCCTCGTGTTTGGCGGAATTCGACTCATCTGCATTTCTTGTTCTGTGAAGGAACTGGCTTCTAAATCTTCGCGGTCATTGAAATCTCTTGCAGAACTGATATTCTCGGTCTTAGAAATATATATCTGTGACATTATAAAGTAGGATTCTTCGACAAATTCCCGCATTCATTTCTGCTATCCACTACAATCGACGCAGCCAGGATGTTGGCAAAACAATTGTACAAAATGATTGGATGACGTTTGTTTTCTCAACCAATCAATATCCCTGTTATGAACATTTTCCCTGACCTGATTTAAACCGTGAAATGCACGTGCGGTGTACTGATATCATTTACCTGAGTAGAAATAAGCGTTTGCGATGAGATAATTGGGGGGGGGGGCTCTAAATGGGAAACTTTGAGTGGAGATCTCCCCGGCTTCGCCTCGGAGCCCCACTCAAAAAAGAGACGGCGTATCAACCCATACACCTTGAAAACAAGGTATATAACTATTACTTACAGAATAAAGGATATTACTGTGTGTTTTAGTGTTTTCTACACCAACCCCTACATAACAATACAAGGGACATTATCTTTGGACCATATTGTTATGTACTAGTGTAAGTTGGTGATGTGTAGCTAGTTCTATCAACCCTATAGCCAGTGTTATTATCAAACTATTCAACATTGTCACAATACAACTCCTTAACAACGCAATACCCGTAATGTGTTAATAGACGATCTATAATAATAGTGTTATGTTTATAAAGACTACACACAAGCAAGTCACGTGATTACATTTCGCTTCAATATGGGCTTATTGGAAGTAGGCGTTTCTACGAATATGTATCAACAAAGTTTAGCTCTGTGTATAAAGATATTTCGCACACATAGTAATAGTTCTAAGAATATAAGCGTCCAGTTTAACAGGTAATGTTCTCTGCTTCATAAGTAACTATTAGCAGCAAGGACTATTAGGTATCGCGTTTAGGTGTTTTTCAGGGTATATTTGTAAGAGGTGGCTATAAATATACTTAGCCAGATAAGATAAATGTTTCCGTGATTAGAGAAGATTTTAACTGTGTAAGTTTGACGTTACAGTATTCATGTGATTGATGATTTTAACTCTATGACATTTATGTGTCGCTTGACATTGTAAGTCGTAATTCTTACAATAAAGATGGCTACTGTCGACCCAGACAAATCAGTATGCAGTATTTGTTTAAACGACTTTAAACAACCTAAAATAATCGATTGTGATCATACATTCTGCTTTACTTGTCTAGAAGATTATACCAACAAAGTCTCCAGTAACAATCGGTTCCCCTGCCCCCTGTGCCGCCATGATGTTCACATTCCTGAAGGTGGCTTAGGCGAATTTAAGTCTAATTTAGATATTGATATCGAACAAGAGTTGGTGAGTGATATTTGTACGGAAGAAATTCCGCCATGCGATGTTTGTAAAACTGGCGTTAATTCCGAGTTCAAGTGTGAGGATTGTGAACAATATTTGTGTAGTTCTTGTAGAAAAATGCATGATGCGCTTAGAATATGTCACAATCACGTACTAGTTCCCGTCGCAGAAACCTTGGAGATACACCGGGAAAGAAATCGTAAAACTATCCCTGCTCCTAGAGATGTTTGTCCCGATCACCGAAATAAAGACGTACGATGTTATTGTAAAGATTGTTCAACAGCTGTTTGTTCTGACTGTTTTGTCACAAACCACAGTTCGCACGAATTTGTTGATCTTCTTGCGAAAGACATTGACATTCAAACCAGAGATGAGCTTAAAAGTTTACAAGCCGATATAGAAACTCAAATTGGTCAATTTGAACGTTTTTGCGAAACGCTGACCAAAGTTAAAACAGATATCGACAACTCGGCGAAAACGTCATGTGAAGCTGTCGACAAACAAGTGGAGCGAATCTGTTCCGACGCAAAAGAAGTTGGCGAGGAGATAAAAGTCAAGATTCAGAAGTCACGTGATGAGGAGATAGATAGAACGGACAAACTTATGGGAGAGATGGAAGTATTAATTGAAGATTTAAAAGCCAGTGTTAAATGTACCGTAGATGTTATAGAAGATAAATCTATTGTCCAGGTTTTAAACAAAATACCACAAGTTAAACTAGAAAAAGAAGACAGTGGTTTACGAACGTTAGATATTCCCGATGTAAAATACGCGTGGTTTGAACAATCTGTGATTGATAAAACCCTTTTAAGGAAACAACTCGGAACTTTAGAGAATCGAATCGGACCGACGTTTATAACACGTTTTAACTTTGACGATGTTAATCTACAAAACGGGGAGAATTTATATAGTGAATATCATTATATTCAAGGCCTACCATGGTCTATTCCTGTCAGGAAGCATGATGATGGCGGATCATATCTGTCTATATTTCTGATACTGAACAAACTCGCGGAATCAAAGGTAGATCAGTGTAATGCCAAATGCGTCATATCGCTTTTAAATATGGCTGATAAAAGTCTATGCAACGAAAGGACAGACAGTAAGGTCCACCAGTTTATGAATTTTAACGATGGCCTTGGTTGGAGTAAGTTTATTTGCTGGTCAGAAATCTCGATTCAAAGCAGAGGCTTTATCGACAGAAACAACAATTTTTTTGTCAGTTCAACCGTTCAAATTGTTTAGAAAATTATTGTTTAAATTTCTTTATTTATAACCCCTATATGTATAAATCGTGTACACAGCACAAAAATGACATGTCCAGCTCTACTTCGTCAGGGTAGCAAATAAGGAAAGTCTACCTTGTCGTTCGTATGAGATTTAGATTTACTCGAGGTCATTCCGTGAACGTAAAGGCACCATTAGGAGTTGGAAATCGACGAGGGGTATAGGTTCAAACGGCGCTTTCCAAGCAAAATACCCTCCCGGGCATTGAACACATATACATCGAAGTTAATATTATTATGTTCACCTCAGAATTATTAGTGACGAGATTAGCTTTTAAGTGGTATCAAATCCTCAAGTCCTTAAGCTTACTGCATGGATCGTGACGTAGAAGTAGAACTTGGTGTTATTTCTTGTATAATTAGGCGTCTAGGGGAGTCTAATGGAATGGGGCTTATCAAGACAAGAAATTATGATATACGCCCTACAACATATCTTGCTGTGTTATAATAATATTACACAATTTCGTAGATGTGACAATCCGTAAAATCCAGAATGAAACGGACCTTGTATAGGTCATTCAAAGTCATATAAATCCGTGTGTGTCTTTCCAGGATAAAAGAAATATCTCAGACATGTATGTATTCGTTGACAGCGTTGGGATTTCACACATCCTTTCCTGTAAGTAACAAGTTAATAAAGCATATTAGACATGAATCGCAAATATCTTCAATTTATCAAACCCATCTATAAGCAGTAAACAATTTGGTCCAATGTTACGGCACGACATTCTACGAGTCAGGTGATCTCAATAAAACGTCTTCAAAATCTATGGAAGTTTATTGCAGCCATTTCATAATCTCGGGGTCGAGCAGTCGAGGGCGAGGTAGCGAGAGTGGTAGACCGCAAGGATCTCACCCCGAGAACACGAGATTCCTTTAGAAGGCTTATTGGTACCAACATTCGGCATGATTTTAGCGATAACCGATTAATATTCATGGATGATTGATATACATATTTAGACGTACCCTTTCAAACAGTTCAGTCGCACAAATTATTAATGTATATATTTTGCTTGAAAGAAAGTTATTTTAACAGCTACAAAAGAAATTGTGTTCATTATTTTTGAATGCAAGATGATGCTGATTTCATATGATATACGAATTCCAAAACACGCTGATATAAATATTATATCACTTGAATTCTTCAGAAAAGTAGGGGATATTGAAATGCAAATACCTATGCAGGATGTGATATGATAAATAGTCATGGACTGGACACTTGACATGCTTTGAGAGTATGTTCACAGACGAAGAACTTATCGCCCCAACAGAACCACTGAGCTGAAGGTGCAACACGCAAGAATGCCATACACGTGGGAGGGATTCATTGTCAAATTTGACACTTCAAGTAAGGGTTGATGAAAACTGCCGCGTGCTGGTTTATCCTATCCATGTTTGCTTTCCTATCGGTTCTTGCATAAGATTTACTGTTTAGCGTATCTTTGCTTTAGTGTGTTACGTTTAATTTGCAATGAGACGTCTTCAAAATGAAAGTCTACTTGCTATTGGCATGCTTCAAATTGGTTCTACACAGCGAGCAGTAGCCAACATGCTTAATGTGTCACAGTCTGTGATCAGCAGACTGTGGAACCGGTACCAACAAACACACAATGTTGATGTTAGACCTCGTTCAGGTCGTCCTAGAGCCACTACACACGCCCAGGATCGATACATTCGTACACAGGTCCTGCGAAATCGAGGACAAACGGCCAATCAGCTTTCTGTAAACTTGTACCATGAATGCGAGTTGCACCCCAAACGATTAGAAATCGGCTACATGCCGCCCATTTGCATGCGCGACGAGGGCGTGTTGTGCCTACATTAACTCGCCAGCAATGGCAAACAGGCGTCAATGGTGTAGACAGCGTAGAAATAAGGGTAATCGTCGATGGGCGCGTGTAATGTTCTCAGATGAGTCCAGATTTACCCTGGATTTCACCGAGAGGCGTGCTCGCGTTGGGAGGCGTGTAAATGAGCGCCATGCTAACGCTAAAGCCAGACAGCATGACAGATTCGGTCGTGGGTCTTATATGTTGTGGGGAGGAATCACCATGACTGGCAGAACGGACGTGCATATTGATCAAGGAAGGGTCACTGGCGTGTACTACCGTGACCACATCCTGGCATCGATAGTTCTGCCCTTTGCTCAACGTGCAGGTCGACGTTTCATCTTTCAAGATGATAATGCCCGTGCCCACCGCGCACGAGAATGACTACCTCCAGCGTCACAATATTGTCCATAATAATATGCCTTGGCCAGTTCTGACCTTTCCCCTATAGAGCATGTCTGGGACATGATCGGGAGACGTGTTCGTCGACGTCAACGACAACACCGCAAGAATTGGCCATGGCACTGCAAGGGAGTGGGTCAGATTGCCCCAAATCGTGATTGGACGGTTGATTAGGAGCATGCCACGACGAATTGCTGAATGTCTGAGGATTGGTGGAGCAATTACTCATTATTAAGACAAAAATCAAAAACGTCCATTTTCACTTTTGACAGTGTATCTCTTTGCGAATGAAATGGGGCCGTCATATAAGCCGCCCATATGAACTGTATATGTTCATATGTAGGCAATTGGCCTGTTATTAACATACACTGGTTACATCTAATAAAAACAGCAGTGCATTTCCGCAGTTTTGTATTGTTTCTGAATATCCCCTACTTTTTTGAAGAGTATATTATATGATATACGAATACAAACCAAGCTTGTGTGAATATTTCACAGCTTGATGTCTATTGTTGCTATAACATTGTTATATTTTTTATTTCTATTAAATCACGGCAAGCACACTGCCTCGGTTTTCTTAAAATGGCGTAACAGGTTAACACCGGTGAATATAACAATACACCATATAAGTCACTTAAGTCATGTTCGCATGCACACCATTTAGTAATGTATGTAAATATTCCCATATGCAGTGGCGGACTGGGTCTCAAATATTGGTTGCCAGGAGACAAAGGGGGCTCAGCCACCAATACAATTCTATCATTTAATTTTTAAAATAAATAAATTAAATTGTCAAAAAATATGTAAGTGGAAACAAAAAGATGTAATTAGAATTTCCCCAATTTTGTTTTATTTAGTAATTACAGTTCGCATGTACTGTAAATATAGCTGGCGGTACACAGTAGAATACAGTAGTAAATTAGCCGTTAATGAGATATATCCTGTTTGGACTATCTAGCTGTTGTAGCCTAGCCTATTGTTTATAGGCTTGCTAACAATCTGGCCAGTCCGCCACAGTCCATATGCATTTATGGACATGTGTGTAATTGTCCATTCGGTTTTGCATTCCGAAATAGACAGTCTTATATCATACCACCATAAAACCATAATAGTCCAGTTAAAGTACTGAAAGACCCACCACAAATTCCTTTAGATGGTTTTTGGTACCATCTTGTAGATGAACTTTCCCTGCAAACCCTACTTAAAATCCACCCTAGTGTTTTTGGGAGTTATCAACATGTCAATTTACCTTTCAAAATGCCATGAATTCCCCCGATAAACTTCGTCAAGACGTGAATATCGACAACATCACACTTTTTTCCCTCCCGGGAAACCACATATTCCTACATATGTCTTGGGGGCTAAGTGGTAAGACGCTGGCCGCTAGTCTAAAGGACGGGTGTTCGATCCCTGCTTTGGCCGAGAAAGTTTATCCAGATTTTCCGGCGTGGTCCCCCCTTGTCAGTGATGCAGGACGGGCATTCTGAACATCCGAGACACGCTACCTGCGGAGAAGTATCTCAGACACAGTCAATAGCCATGATATCCATGGTCATGACATTGACGTCAATGGATCATGAGGTCAACATTGTAAACAATAGGTTTATCTTCAGCATTGTGTCCGTTGCACCCATAAAGACTATAATAATTCGTACAGTCCCAACATGTTTTCTTATCTTCCAATGATTTTTCACAAAAATAATATCTACAACTCATAGAATTGACGTTGTCTTGAATGACAGCGTCTGCGAGGGTTGTTCATAGAGGCCCCCTTATTGCACTATTTTGTGAGTCGGTCGGGTCTATTTCAGATATACACAATCAATTCTTTTGATGTTTTTAGCGTTGGGCTTGACTAATAGTTAATATGTTTCAGTTCTAAAACAAATATTTTAAACTTTAACGCAAATTTAGAAAATAGCCAAATTCTGGCTGGGATTACTGAGCACAATGGCCATTCACTGTATACGTGCGAAAAAAAGCTAGCCACTAATTAATTTTCGTACGTTAGTTACATACGGCAGGACGGGATGAAAAACTGAGGTCCCGTGTACACATTGGCGTGCACTTAAAAGATCCCTTGACAGTTGAAATTCGATATAAGAGTAGGTCATATTGCCGCTGTTCGGGCAAAATATCCCTCATAGCACACTGCATGACCTATGCCCGTCTTCGGAGCAGAACAATAGAACGTTAAACCCCATTTCATTTCATTTATTAATATCGCGGTATCCATCGCGCTATTGACCCTATACGGAAGATTTCCGTCACCGTAGCTACAGTATCATGTGCCATCTATACAATATGCCACCATTTTAAATGATATGATATCATTGTGATTTTAGTACCCAGCCGTGGTGTTATTTTATTGCTTCTTATTTTTGGTAGCACGATTAATGTGCATTCGGCTTTATAGTAGGCAATATGGCAATATATGACAACGTAATCATCGGTGCTGTCATTGCAATGTAGCATCGGGATAACAAATATTGTAGAAATAGCCATTATAATTCAAAACGACTGAAACAGGTATGTTTTATATTAATTTTATAACAACATTAGATTTATTGGTAGAAATAACAAAATCATATATCTTAATGAATTTATTTAATTGCACAAAATACATGAATTTATGACATGAACTTATTCATAGATATATTAAAAGCAGCTATTTTTAATGTCGTCATCTTTTTTTAAAAAATATATCATCCATCCATATATGTTTATCCCCAATATGTCTCAGCACGGGTTCCGCTTGTTCCAAGACCCGTAACTCTAAACACTGATCCAGCTAACTCGTCAGTAAGTCCACGTTTAGCGGATGTGACGTAAAGCTCGTCAAAATTCTTACCGCCCCAACAACAGGAAGTGATCAGACTTGTTGGTAAATCAATTCTGGAAATCTCTTGACCTGAAATGAAAAAAAAATATTTTCAGGACATAACTGAAAGGCATAGAAACATACCCAAGTCTAAAACAGACCTATCCTATGTTTCCCAATATGTTACAGAGAGAGAGAGGGAGACAGGAGGAGGGAGGGGGGGGTACCGTCCACTTGACACAAACTAGGTCATTTAGATAATTCGCTTGCGCGTATGGGTCTTTAGCAGTGGGAGGAAACCGGAGGACCCAGATAAAACCCACGAGATTGGACAGACGACCCTACTTCTCCTTGTCACGTACAACCGGGGAATCGAAACCACGCCAGTTGTCGGCAAGGAAGATAAAAAGTAATTATGATCACACTGTTCAACTGAGTATTTGTGATGGTAAATAATGATCACTACCCTAGTAATATTGGTAGTCGTGGTATAATTTCCACTTTACTAATACATTTGTATTCATATCCTGGGGACCAATGATAAGTTCCTCCCCATTTTAAAATAATGGAGGCTACGATATAGCATATACCGCTCAAGTTAGGCAATATTTTTGATCGAAGCTATATAATCACTTACCAGTCTCTTGGTCGAACCGGATAACACAACTTCCACCAAAAAACGCACACCATATTTTACCGTCAACATCTGACGTCATACCATCGGGATTACCCAGGGTTTTAAAGTTTTCCTGTGGGAACTTGATTAACTCTTGTTTATTTGCTTGTTTTAGAAATAAAAATAAATAGTCTTAATCTCGAGTAGATATTATGGTACAATAATTGTATATATATGCAATAATTCAAAGGACGTCACACTCCCTGTGTAGAGGTTTGCCACGGTGTCCGATTTGGTTTAATGATTAAGGCGCATGTACACTAAGCAAGAAGACCCAGTGTTCTTCGAGGTTTTTTTTATGTGTTATTTCATTCAGTTACTTCATGGCGTTTCAACAATTTATTCAGTTTGATTATTTAACATTTAGTTATAAAAGCAAAATCAATATTTCATGCTTGATAATCCCCTCCTTTGTGTGTGAAACGGTGCAGGCAAGAGTTGGGATGATCTAGTGGTCTAGAATGTCGCGCTTTGAACTCTAGCTGGCCAGTTACCTCTGGCTTGCGCTTTGGTTTTTATCCCTGGTGTGAGCGTATTTCGCTTGGAAATAGGTGTCTCTTTTCATCCACGTGGGTTTACTCCGAGTACTCCGGTTTCCTCACATAGGAAATGACGCCTGCACATGCGTTAAGTGGCCATGGTGATATTAACGGTAATCAGTTTTCTGCGTTCTCATAGTTCCCTTGTTCAAGACTCGGAGAAAACCCACGCGGTTTGACAGGTTTGACTTAATGACAGACCCTATGATTTAAAGAACACACGCCAGACAGGCCCTTCGGCCAGTCACATCTATACTTACCCAAAGTTCCATCAGTCAGATTATAATCAAAGGAATATATAATTCTAGGAGTTGAATCAATATAATACATTTTGGTGTTATTATTGGTCCACGTCATACCATTAGATATGGTTATTTTATCCAAATGTTGTTTAATGTTCTGCTTTGTATCTAGACTGTACAAAAACGCGGATTCCGGTTTGAACACGGTCGGTGAGAGTTTCGGACCAACTGTTCCTGAAAAACAAAATTGGCGGCGGTGACAAAGACTCGTCAGGTGACACTAACTGCATAGATTTATTTAACGCCCACCCCACGAAATGTTGACAGGTACAGGCGATACATTGATACATTATATTTAAAGAAATGTATCAGAATTATCAAATACGGACGTGTCTATATTGTTGTATCGAACAGATACCATCAAGCAAAATAAACACGTGCGTATGGCATCAAGGGAATAGGGGGACACCACACAAATTTGCGATTGTCGGATTTACCTTGGATCACCATACGTTGCAAAATTATACAAATGGCCTGGTTCACGCAAAAGCCCTCTGTTGATTTATATATTAATAATCCCAATAGAACGATTGGATATCACGTAAATATGTTACCTAAAATTAGTTTGACGGATCTGATCAAAGTCTTTGCAATTAAAAAAAAACAAAATCTTTTCAATCAATATAAATAAACATTAATTTCAATTAACATAAATAAACATTAATTTCAATTAATAAAAATAAACATTAATTTCAATTAATAAAAATAAACATTAATTTTATTTAATATAAATAAGCATTATTTTCAATTAATATAAACATTACTTTCAATTAATATAAATAAACACTACCTTCAATTAATATAAATAAACATTAATTTTAATTAATATAAATAAACATTAATTTTAATTAATATAAATAAACATTAATTTCAATTAACATTAATAAACATTACTTTCAATTAATATAAATAAACATTAATTTTAATTAATATAAATAAACATTAATTTTAATTAATATAAATAAACATTTATTTTAATTAATATAAATAAACATTAATTACATAATATATTATGTCACTAAAATCTTTTAAGTGCTTAGGGCATCTATAGGTCTTAATCCAGCCCTGGTGGTGGCCATTTTGTCAGTCTGGGGCCTGGTAATTCTTTCATTTATCTAGTAATGTCATTTTCGTCCTTGGTTATTAGTTTTGATTGTCCAAGCCTTTTTATTATTGGTCCAGTGAAGAATGATTCCAGTACCTGAATCTTAGTCTAGGTGTATTTAAAAGTTTGTCATTGGTCGACTCCATATCATTCTGCCAATCAAAACTCCTGATAGGGAAAATTTCTCGAGTACAAATTAAATATACAAACTGTTAAGATGTATTGAGTAAACAGTATGATATTAACAAGAAGGAATATTAACACATACCTGCCCATAACCGCCCAGAAGCGTCACATTTTCCGTCGTTAAATTTGCCACCTTCTGGCACTTCCACTGTAGCTAATGTTGTTAGATTACCCGACACCCAATCAAGATGGGAGATATTTACACCAGTGCCTACCACATAACCTCCACATTTTCTTGGTACCACTAGTGATACATGTTCACCTATATGAGGATGAAAAAATAAATATTGGCGATTAAAGCGACAACTGGACGGTAGCATGACGTTTCAGTCCCTCGACCTCTCTGATTTCACACAAAGAACGGTTTATTGATAAATAAAAAATGGACTGGATAAAGGCAAATATGTAATCCCTGGTCCATACTTAGTCGGAGTATGGCTCACGTTAAAACTGGAGGATCAAGGGTTTAATCATGGTGTTTTCAGAAAACTTCGGATTTTCAAGACGAGTTTCCCTCTGTCAGTAGTGCGGGACAAAGGGTCTGGTAACTAGTTTCCCCCGGTCAGCAGTGCTAAAAAGTGAACAAAAACCACAATGCTAAATGGGCGAATGGCAAGGGAAGGGAAGACTATTATTAACAATATAACTTTTGCTCTATGTTCGTGGTTAACCAGCGAAGGAATTAAGTGTGTCCTATGTCCATATGCCATATACAGTGTGCTATGAGGGTAATGTAGTCTCGGACAGCGGTGTTTCGGTCTAATGTTCATCGAGTTCCAACTTCTAAGATACAGTTTTACATGCACGCCAACGTCTACACCGAATCTCGGGTCATAGTCTCACCCGAACGACTAACCACTCGAACTAATTACATTATTTTAACCTAAATGGAAACTATGTTAACCAGAAGTTCTTACCGATATGTCGCTTTTCCTCTATTTTATTAAACGTGTTATAACGATGCACATTGCCAGCTAGCAAGTCCACGAAAAGCAATGTCTGGGTTAGCTCGTCCCAATGAGGCGCTTCTCCAATAGTTGTTGTAGCGTTCTTACTTAGGGTTTCTACTTTGTACGACATCTTGCATCAGTAAATCCTGAAATTATAGAAATTTAGAGTGTATCACAATCAAAATTATTGAAATAAAATTGAACTGTGCGTTAGCCCGAAATGACCTAGTTTGTGTCCAGTGGACTTTAAACTCCATTTCGCTCTCTCCTAATTGTTAGTTTTATCGTCCCAGCCAAGATTCATCCCCGGGCGACTGGAAGTGTAACTTGATATGATATTGGTTATTCCAGGAACGCGGTAATAGTCAGTCGATGTTGCATGCGGAACAAGATACTGTCACGATTGGGTTAATCCTTTCATGAATTCAACGTTACATTCCAAATTTTAATAACGGTAGCTTCTAAGCGTTCACTGGGTTTTTAGAAAAAGGGGACATACGTTACCTCTAGAACGAATGGTTGCGGAAAATCGATAGGGTCCCTTCATTCTTTTCACAGATGTTTTTATTCGAATTCGGACAAAACTCTTTATGTAGCCTATGTAGCCTAAAGGCAATTGAGAGAGAGAGAGAGAGAGAGAGAGAGAGAGGGAGAGATTTTAACGTATACTTGACTAACTTGTCAAGTCATAGTGGGTGGAGCTTTTCGGTTTGATATTGAATACTTACAACCATTACACAAAATAATGGATACACATTGTGCTTACTCTTTTCAGAATTGCCGCCAACATTAACGACTCATTTCCTGACACAACAAGATCACATATTTAACAATTGTGTGTGTGGTAATTTCCTTATTGTAATTCATAGACAATATTATATCACTTACCTGTTCAACCTGACCGTAATGTTCGTTACACAGTTATTATACTTATCTTAAACATACATTGATAAATAAACAGATAGATAACACGTTGATAAACACATATTGTATGGTTATAATCTCTATCTATATGGATTTATGTGGTCTATATATTTTTTGGGGGATCACGTGGCTAAGTGGGTAAGACGTTGGTTCGCTAGCCTGGAAGTCGGGTGTTCGATCCCTGCATTGGCCGAGAAAGTTCATTCAGATTTTCCGGCGTGGTTCCCCCTTGTCAGTGATGCAGGGCGGAGGGCCTGACAAGGACAGCTGTCTAGTCCTTCGGATGAGACGAAAAACCGTGTATACACTTGAATGCACGTAAAAGATCCCTTGGCAGTTGGAATTCGATATAAGAGTAGGCGATAGTGCCGCTGTCCGGGCAAAATTTCCCTCATAGCACACTGTATGGCGTATGCCCGTCTTCATTAGCCCAGCATAGGAGCAGAACAGTAGGACGTTAAACCCCATTTCATTTCATTTCATTTAGGTCTATATATTCAATATGTGGTCGAGCAGTCTGGCGAGGGACAACGTATAGTCGTTCGGAAGATACGAAAAACCGTGGTCCCGTGTACACATTGGCGTGCATGTAGAATATCCCTTGGCTGTTCGAATTCGATATGAGAGTAAGCTGTAGCGCCGCTGTCCAGGCAAACTGTTCCACATAGCACACTGTATGAAGTATGCCCGCCTTCATTAGCCCAGTCGCGACAGAACATTAGGACGTCAAACCCTATTTCATTTTGTGGCCGAGTAGTGCATCGGGTTGTCATGCATCGTAAACTATCCCACTATTGGTTTGTTTACGAACCTGCAGTGCAAATCGGCGACCCATCTTTCTTTCTGTAAACTTGCAGTCAAATACCTCGAGATAGCGGGGTACATATTAAAGTCTCGATGAGTCATTTGTATTTTAGCTAAAACATCAATTTTATCACAGCTTAATTCACGATTTCCGTAATCTTGCAGTCAAATACATAGAGTGTATTTTTTGCATGCTTGTGGCGAGAATTTTCAACGTTCGGATCTCGTCCACCACACGTCAGCTCATCAGCCCTATATCGTCAAAGTTACAAAGTAAAGAAATCGTAGATAATTGTAGACCTTGAACAGTAATAATAAAAGCCAGGGTGCCACCTATTAATTAATTTATCTTTGATTAATGCAACGAGCAATCAAGCTGATCTATATTGTGTTTAAACAGAACATACAAGTTTCATCCTTGAGCCTCAGTATTCGTTCTTTTAGACCAACCATTCTAGCTCATTTTAGGGGTTTTCCTACCACAAATGGAACAAGAAACGATTCCGCACGGTGTCTAATCTCCATTTCTCTTTTTACACCTTTTGCATGGCGATGATTTTTGGTGACTTTTTGGTGTTGAACCGAAGAATTATTCATGATTTTGAGGCGAAAAGATACGACAGATAAGATGTTGGTTACGTTGAGAGAGGGCAAAATGGGTTTAACGTCCACTCGACACAGGTCATTTGGGACTAACACATGGTTCAATTTTATTTCAATAATTCGCTTGCGCGTAAGTGTCTTTATCAGTGGGAGGAAACCCACGAGGTTGGACAGGCGATTCTACTCCCTATCACGTACAACATAGGAATCGAAACCACGCCACTTGACTGAATGACATACCTTATGATACAGCGCGCACGTGCTAACCATTCGTCCATCCAATCCCCCTGGTTAAGTTGAAATGTTGGGCGGACAATTGCTTGTTTCCTGGTATGCTACTTTCCGTCAGTGTATTACAATATTTCAATGGTGAACCTCATACATGCTTTTGAGCAAGAGGTTGACACATGTTGCCCCATCTGTGGTAGAAAGCATTCAACCCCACGGAAATGTTGGGAAGAGTTAAAGCCTGTCAAAGAGACGAGAGAGAGAGAGAGAGAGAGAAAGAGAGAGAGAAATGGGGTTTAACGTCCACTCGACACAAACTAGGTCATTTCGGAACTAACATATGGTTTAATTTTATTTCAATGATTCGCTTGCGCGTAGGGATCTTTAACAGTGGGAGGAAACCGGAGGACCCGGAGAAAACCCACGAGGTTGGACAGGCGACCCTACTCCTTGTCACGTACAACCGGGGATTCGAAACCACGCCAGTCGACTCAATGACAGACTTTATGATACAGCGCGCGCACGCTAACCATTCAGCCATCCACCCCCCTGTCAAAGAGACGAAAATTAACATTAGAGTCAATGAGGACATTACTGGTGTCGAAAACACCAAGGTCCCGCGGCGTGTACATCTTGGCAGTTGGAATTCAATGAAACGGGCATACGCCATACAGTTTGCTATGGAGGAAATTTCGAATTCCAACTGTCAAGGGTTCTTTTAAATATACGAATTTAAAACACGGCATCGGAACATGAAGTGGGGTTTAACGTACGTCATACTGTTCTTCTCAGACTGGATAAGTAATGAAATGAAATGAAATGGAGTTTAACGTCCTACTGTTCTGCTCCTAACCTGGGCTAATGAAGACGGGCATACGCCATACAGTGTGCAATGAGGGAAATTTTGCCCGGACAGCGGCACTACGGCCTACTCTTATATCGAATTCCAACTGCCAAGGGATCTTTTACGTGCACGCCAATGTGTACACGGGACCTCGGTTTTTCGTCCCATCCGAACGACTAGACAGCTTTCCTTGTCAGCCCCTCCGTCCTGCATCACTGACAAGGGAGAACCACGCCGGAAAATCTGGATGAACTTTCTCGGCCAATGCAGGGATCGAACACCCGACCTCCAGGCTAGCGAGCTAGCGAGCTAGCGTCTTACCCACTTAGCCACGTGATCCCCCTGGATAAGTAAAGTAATAAACAAGATATGTGTATAAATAATTTATTAGATGTATTAACTTAAAATATAAATTTAACCAAAAATAAAATCTGCATTAATTATATAAAAAATACTTCATATAAATACAAGCTTATATCAATAAAAATACAAATCTGGTCGTAAATGACAGGATTCGGCACAGTTTGTAAAATAATTACATTTAAAAATTCATATTAAAATATTTTCTGTAATATTAACCTACACAAAATAACAATCAAAATTCATCAATGTTAAAACCAATATATCACAGATTAAATTAGATCGAAAATGCGTTGGATCTGCGAGAAACTAGTCGATGAAAATCGACAATCCATCAATAATTTGAAATTAAGGTTAAACAAGATACACTGTACCGAGATATGCAAAGTAAGAAGTAAACATTGTGATTACACATTGCCAAAGTTTCGCCGTTGACTACGTTTCAACATGAGGACAAATAAACCGTTGAAATTTCAATGACATTATCAAAACACATCTGGGCGAGATGACTCGATTCGTAGACTAGGACAATAGACGAGATGTAACATCACACTGATCAGCAGTAAATATTCGCAAGACCGTAAAACAAATACAATACGAAATTATGTCAAAATTCGGCCAATCGTAACTTAGCTACCCAACATGCCAACATCCTAAATGTATACATATTAAAATATAAAATAAACATAATCTAATACAGAGTTGGAAGGCATGGTAATGTGCATGTTGAAAAATGGCATATGTCATTGCTTATTCAGTTTCCATAAAGACACAATAAATGAGAACAAATATGTAGAAAGGTTACTCTGTCATGGATATCTTCCTTCTCAGCGGAACAAGTACTTTCCATTATTATGCGAAAATAATACAAAGCCTGTTAAAGACAGTACATAACTATTGTACCTATCATAGTAAATATACCACATAAAATAAGTTCTCTCTCAGTAAACATCGACTTAAAGCTAACTCTATTCCGTTTAGCGAAGTTATAAAGTTCATATATACACAAAACCACGTGTAGTACATCTGGAATCATCAGACCAATATTCCTGGCATTCTGGAAACTCTTCCCAGTTTTAAGAATGACGTGCTCAATAAACTGATTTGAACAGCTAACGGCTATGTGCATACTATTAATAGTAATAATCAACAGAATTTTCCATGAGGCTATTTGATTCTTTGTGTCACAAAGATTCAGCACCAGAACGGTGACGAGGATTTCCGTCAACATAAAATAGAAATGGTTGTAGAAATATAGATAAAAACTTTCGTTATAATAACTCAGAAAAGACCACCAGCTGTAATAATGTGGATAAATGTTCGCTAGGTATAACACAAACATTGTCATTCTTACATTTCCCATTTTAAATAGTTTATATAAATATTTTATACTTTCGTACGTCATTAACACAAATAACACTGTGAAGATCCAGATTTTAAACGTCTCCTGCGTAGCATTGAAATATAAATGTTTGTATCTCGAGTTTCCTGGTTTTTCATAGCTTCCTGTAATAATAATGTAACATAACTTATATTACAAATAAAAAATTTCGATATTTAATTAAATGTAATGCTTCCCGTAAAACTAATGTAACATAACTTATATTACAAATACAAAAATTCGATATGTAATGTAATGCTTCCTGTAAAAATAATGTAACATAACGTATATTACAAATAAAAAAATTCGATATGTAATGTATTGTAATGTAATGTAATAAGACCCTGCTTTGTGAAATTTTTTGTTAATATTCGTGATTAAGAGGCAGGATGATAACAACATTAAGAGGTGGTTACGGTGATATTTTGTACATCTCATAATTACAATGGTCAATCTCGTACACACTTTGGGGTGTTCAACCCCACAGGTTGCTCAATCTGTGGGAGAGTATGTAGAGTACGGAAGACCAAAGTGACAAGAATAAATATTAAACTTTTGGTGGCTTGCGTCCTAATCAATTGTTAATGTTATGTCCCTTACCTCTCATAACCGTATCAAAACAAGAACATCTGCAGCTATCTCTATTAATAGGTGTCTTATCTGGTACCCAAATCATTTGATGAAAAATACCTAGAAAAAATGTAGAAGAATTAAATCTTAGCGATTTTACTGACATTAGCCTATAGGAGTGAATAACCAAATCATGTTTAGCAGATTATAAGACTATTGAAAAGAAGTGGGGATTCCTTGGGCTGCTCCAGCCCACAAACATTTTCCCGAGGCCCCATGTTGGCTCGCTACGCTGAGAGCCCACTCCACAATATCGTCGGGCCTGCATTTGGGTGAACACTCCGAATAACGGGTCGGTTTGAATATCAAGGACCAGCCTTCATATAATGATTATATACAAATGTGTGTGTGTGGGGGGGGGGCAATGGTTAGCGCGTACGCGTTATAGCATAAGGTCTATCATTGAGTCAACTGGCGCGGTTTCGATTTCCCGGTTGTACGTGATAAGAAGTAGGGTCTCTTGTTCAACCTCGTGGGTTTTTTCCGGCTTCCTCCTCCTTCTAAAGACAAATTATTGAAATGAAATTGAACCATATGTAGGTCCCAAAATGACTTAGTATGTTTCGAGTGAACGGTGCCCCCCCCCCCCTCTCTCTCTCTCTCTCTACACAACCAAAATAAATAATAGATCATTCCCCACCCGTTACTACAATAGCTTTTGGGTAGCTTTGTGATTGGACTTTACGGTTTATCTGCTTTAGTTACATTTGTTTCCCAAAAAGTCTTAGCTTGGAACTGGTTGGGATTTATTTATTTTTTTCTTTTATTCCAAAAAAAAAGAAGATAAATACATACTAACCTATGTGAAGAAATGGTAAAAATATGAGTAGACCAGATCCTAGTAAAAAAGCCCGTGTTTTGTGTAGCAGTTTACTATCTGGGGACATTATGCCGTAGTTGGTAAGATGTTTGTGTATAAAACGAGTAAGCACCATCCTTGATTAACCTCGTACTCGGGATCTGAAATGAATGATGGATGAATGAGTAAGGCACCGAGTACATAAGGCTATCGTTTATTCTTATGCAAATCAGTATAACTAATACAATAAACAGCACAGGTATAAATTATCTAACCAAAATACTGTAGATTCTGAAACAAATACTAACTTTATGAATTTCTCTAAATTACCCGACGAGGAGACTATGTAGATAATTCAGTATTCATGTACAATATACACTGTATGAGAGTGACAAATTTCCGTCTGTATTTCGCCTTCCCTGACTTCTGGACTAAACCCTCAACCACGACTGACTCGCCTGATAAGTTTCTTTACAAACATTTGTCTGCGAATGTTAACCCCAACGAACGTTAACCCTCACGAATAAACGATGTACAGTAAATAAATTAACATGGTAACCTAACAATCAACAACAACAAAACGATTGCTTCATTAACACAGCGTTCATAATGATTGGAATACAACATCACTTAATCACTTAAAGACAGATTATGTAAGATTTAGATAAAGAACTAGCCGTTCTTGCTATAATAGTTCAATAATGCAAAATGAATATGTTGAAAATTCCATTCAGATTACTTTATTCTGAGCGAAGTTATCAATATAGTTTTGACAAGATGTGTGCATTGATTGTTTATTATCGTATTATCGTGCTGGTTATTCGAGGCTTAACAACAACAAAACAATTATTTCAGACATTGTTCAGAATGACTGGAATAAAATATCACAGAATCACTTCAAGATAGATAATGTAAGATTTAGGTAAATAACTGTCCGCTCTTGCTATAATATAAATAATGCAAAATGAATAATGTTTGTAGTTTTGACAAGATGTGTGAATTGATTGTTTATTATCGTAACTTCGGTGCTGATTTTTCGAGGCTTAGGCTCGCTTCTGCATTTTAAAATTAATTCACTAAATGACCTAATCTACTTATAATCGGGTCCAACCAATGGCATCGATAATTGATTATGATCTTGTCATGTTAATAAATGTCTAATTAAAAGATTATATAACATTTAAGCCCTATAAAGAAAGAGCTGCAATAGACCGATTTGGCTCTTGAATAATGTCTCATTAATCTCAATTCTGGATAACACACAGCAGATAAACAAATAAATGCAGTGGGTTTAACTTCCTATTGTTCTGCATAGTATAAACGGTTACATCTCACTGTGCCCACTTTTGATTAATCCAATTAAGGTCTAATTAGGATTAGTGTATTAAGCGGATTAGGATTAGGTGTTATAGGTAATTAGATGGAAAAAAAACAAATATTGAAAGTGACTAAATATTCAGTCTTATAATTGGTGAGATGAACTTAGTCCATGAAGAATACAAATTCCGAGTGAAGAATAGGAAGGCAGAACGAGTATACTGGAGATGTTGTATAAAAGGTGCTAATGTGATGTATGATATATCCATGTATGTTATATTTTTATTAAATATATATAAAACATCGAAAAATAAAAAAGAAATTACATAAAATATTTGGGTTTTTTTTCCATCTAATTACCTATAACACCTAATCCTAATCCGCTTAATCCACTAATCCTAATTAGACCTTAATTGGATTAATCAAAAGTGGGCACAGTGAGGACACACCGTATAAACAATTGAGAGGATTACATAGAGAATCTCCTACTCGTCTTTTTTGATATCAAAAAATATCAACACAAGTTGATAAAGTAACAAAAAACAAGGCTCTGTCGAGTTATTTTTTTTACTTTATCAACGAGTGTTGATATTTTTTGATATCAAAAAAAGACGAGTAGGAGATTTTATTTATCACTCAATCATTTCTTACGTGCACAAATAAATAAATATAATTGTTTGCTATAGATTTCACTTTTACTGAACCTGATTACATTACGGCGTAGTGATATATCATTTTTGACAGCCATTCAACCATTGCAAAGTCCTTTATGTTGACCCAGTGTTTCTATCAAAGTCAATTAAATAAAACTAATTGATTTTTAATAAAAAAAATAAGGAGTTACTTTCAATAAAAGATGAACTGTTCTTATGAAATAAATCACACAAGCGATATCTACTGTAGAATGTATTATTGGGTGATAAAGTTAATTACGACCATCACAGAAAATAGCTGCCGCGGTAAAAAACAAAACAAACAAAAAATATCAGTGACATTTGCAGATGCAATTGCAGATGACATATTCGTCAGACGGGCAGTTACCCTTGACTGAAATTGATCCGTTAGACGAAGGCTGACATCGAAACAGTCGGGTTTCTTTTTGAATATCTCTGTGTTATTTTCTGGGTCCAGTAAACAATGCTTAATCTGATTTACAGCCTGTCTAAGCGAACCGTGTATTGTATAGATCTTTCAAATTGTTCACTTCCAATCAACGTGAAATGTGAGATCCGAATTCGTTCACCCCTAATCAATGTCATGACGTGTAAACGTGGATAAGTGGCACGGATCAGTTATATTTCACAGACATTCAAAATGACAAACGCTCAACACCAAATAATACAATTAACGAAAACCGATCTAAACGAAAAATTATGGCTTATGGAATATACAAAGTATATTTCGTATTTGGTGAAATTATAAAAGTTTTGCCATGTTAAATAATTGTTGTGTTGTGATTGTTGACATTAGTGATTTATTCAGGTTGACTTGTTGTTACAGCAACTATAACCCAATATTGGTTTAGTTTTATCAATGAAATCGCATTTCACAACAATCGATTATCCGCTCCGTTCAGAAATTTACATTTTATTCGTTCCGTTCAGAAATCTATATTTTATGTATTTCGTTCAGAAATTAAGCTTTTATCGGTTCCGGTCAGTATGTGTGTCGTTCAGTGAATACAACATTCCATAATAAAACTAGTGATGTCGAAAACTTGAAATTTAATAGGGTTTAAAGGACCTAAGTCCGTAACTCAAAATCCTCCAAAATCTTCGACATCGAAAACACGAATTATTGGTCAATTTAAATCAACATTGATGATGTAAACTTACCGGGAAAAGATGAGCTTCTGATATCCGATATTTAAGATAAAATAATTTTTTTAACATTGGTACACGAATCGTGTACCATAATGCGCTTCAGCCCCAGTTGTATTGAGAGACTCGAGGGACGAGGCTAGACACATTGCACCAAATCAAATGGAGTTATGTAGACTAGAATAACTAGACGCTAGAAATTTGCACTCGATTGAGATTGCTGACTTATTTCGCCGAACATAACTGATTTGAAATTGGAGTAAAAACGGAAACCATTAAATGTAAATCAGTTTATATACATTCATATTACAGTATTATATGCGTTGCGACCCACTTTTGTGAATTTCTAGGTCCCAAATGTTAGCGATTTAGCTCCTTTAACGTACTGCTTTACACAAACAGGGTATCGGCTCTTCATCATACTTAAACATTCACAGGTTCTTTTACTTGGAGTTTTCTTCCCGACCCAGAGCCACGATGGCAAAATGGGCGAGACGCTGGCTCGCTAGTCTGAGGTTTCGGGTTCGCTCCCGGGGTTGACCGAGAAATTTCATCGGGATTTTCCGTATCAGTGAGCTGGCTCCTTTCCTACAAAGCCACCACGACGCCCTCATCAGAAGAAGAGAAATAGCGTTTCAGAATGACGTTGTTTTAATGTCTTTAAATAAATCCTTCTACGTACATAAATATTATCAACTAAATATAATCATAGATTATAAAAATAATCACGTCTAAATTCTTAAAAAATGATAGAATTCTTTAAAGGTGATAATTGGCTACTTCTAGACTATAATTAGTTAGAAACAAGTCTTTGATATCCATAAAATGATCGCAAGGTATATTCGAAAGACATTGCCAATAATGCCCATTTAAAATTAAATATTTGTTTGAAAGACTAACATGGCACCATTTCCTGCTAAAATATTATAATTATTGGGTTGATAAAGTACCACGTGATAATGGAAATGAAATGAAATAGGGTTTAACGTCCTACTGTTCTGCTCCGAACTGGGCTAATGAAGACGGGCATAAGCTTTACAGTGTGCTATGAGGGAAATTTTGCCAGGACAGCGGCACTACAGCCTACTCTTATATCGAATTCCAGTTGTCAAGGGATCTTTTACGTGCACGCAAATGTGTAAACGGGGCCTCGGTTTTTCGTCCCATCCGAACGACTAGACAGCTGTCCTGGTCAGGACCTTCGGACTGCACCACTGACATGGAGAAACCACGCCGGAAAAACCCGATGAACTTTCTCGGTCAACACCAGGAGCGAACCCGCAACCTCCAGGCTAGCGAGCCAGCATCCTTGTCAGGTACTCCGTCCTGCATCACTGATAAGGAGAAACCACGCCGGAAAATCTAGATGAACTTTCTCGGCCAAGGCAGGGATCGAACACCCAACCTCCAGGTTAGCGAGCCAGCGTCTTACCCACCTAGCCCCCGTGACCCCCACGTGACATTGGACATGAAATGGTGAAAATCAAGACGCTGGAGACGCCATTAAAGCTTCTTGCTGCAAATATTTTGAAAATCGAATAACTTTTTAATAATAATTAAACTACCTCTTACCTTAATTCTAAAAATACCCACGAGTTCGACAGGGTATATTCGTACTATTATGAAGGGCCTGTCTCTTGGCGGTTTAACATCTGCACCCAAAATAGATATATCAAAGAAAAGTGTAATATGCCACTGTTGTAAGATCTTTATCAATGGAGAGCAATAAAAAACAAACCCATAGAATGGTGGACGTCCTATCTTTCACACAAAGTGACAACCACGTGACCAAGTAATTTTTAATTAGCTAATGTGGCCATAATCATGTTTGAATAGATTTAAAGGTGTTCATAAATACCTAATTAGTTAAAGCATTCGCTTATCATTATCATTAATTAACCGCACCATTCAATAAGATCACTAATGACTGTATTAAGATATAGTCATTAATTCTTGAGGGTTGAATTACATAACAAATGATCATGAACTGACAAGGTTTAACATCCTACTTTTCTGCACCAACCTGTGTCATGCAGATGAACATACGCAATGAAGTGTGCTTTGAAGACTATTTTGTCCTGACAACGATCTAGTTTTATTTCGAATTCCAACGGTGAATTTTTCTTTAACGTGCACGTCCAAGTGTACACAGGGCCTGGATTATCGTCCCATTCGAACGAGGAGACGCTGTTGCATGGGGAAACCATGTTAAAAGATCTTTCTCGGCCAACACATTGAGCCTACTTTATACCGAATCTGGATTCTCATCTTTATCAGAGCGACGCCATGCTCATAAATTAATTATGTTTTATGAAGTTTTAAATAATATAGCCCATTTGGTTCATTCTGGAATTATTCTTGCCGTCTTATTCCGCCAATTACCTCTCCTAAGAACCCTTACAACTTCCGTAATTCCGGCCACATTACACGAATTAAATGTAAAACTAATATTTATAAAACCTCTTTTTCGTCTTCTACTATAAAAACGTTATATAATTTAGATAATGACTTACAAAGGTTTCATCTGTCTTTAAAACTAAACTGTATCCAACCTTATTCCCCCAAACTAAAGAAATGTTTTTCTATGGCCAATTTCAAATTATCCACTGTAAACTGCGGAACGATAAACCAAAGTTCCTTATGCATATTTATGACAATCCTCAATATGACTGTGACCTCGACCTTGAACTGAACTCTTTTTTACTCCACCGTGACACTGTCCGAATTACGCCAACTCCGATATTTTCAAAACTGTTTACAAAATATTAAACTTACGAAATGTTTTACTCAGTAAAATACAACCGTGTGACAAGGAATTCATGAATTCGTTTATTTTAATCATTTTTTTAAAATTATGTAACACTTTCTTAGTGATAACAGAGGTTAGTTTAATAAATATATGGTTTATTTACATCGGAACAGAATACAATACATCTACATAACTACAACAGCAATACAGGTACTTAGAATATATACAGGAACTCATCAAGACGGTACATAAATATGTTAACTCTACCATTCCGCCTCTCTGCCAAGGCAGCGGTTGAACTCGGGTGAGTCCATACACTCGTCCAACCCTCCCGGCTCCTCTCTCTTAACTGTCAATGAACTCCTCAATATATACCCTTGCACACATGGTCATACATGCAATTGTCTCTTTTATCTCGTCACGGCATGCCTGCTGACCAATGCATATTCCTTTGAAGTAAAGCGGAGCGTGTGCAAAGACCACACGTAGTTTGTAAAGAACATACTGAATCAATTAGATGTTTAATAAACTCGTGCTTAACAGAAGTTTATATAGAGGTGAAAGTCAAAAATCATATATTGTTAAAACTAGCAGAGTTCATTAAGTTATATGTACCTAAATGATACTGTTCAATTTGGTGAGAAATATAAATCACTTTGTCACAATTACTTATCTACTTATTTATGTTATAACTAAAATACTGTAATTTTTAAAAATAACTTATCTACTTATTTGTACCATAACTAAAATACTGTAATATTTTTTTTAAATTACCTATCTAAAATACTGTAATTTATCTTAAATTACTTACTTACTTATTTGTACCATAACTAAAATACTGTTATTTTTTTTATTTGTACTATAACTAAAATACTGTATAACCAAACCAGAAGGAAACAATTTCTTATTAATGTATCCTTGCCTTTATATTGTACAATATTTTCGGAACCTACTTGTTAGCCAGCCACCGCGACTCACCGAAATCCACAACTCCTTCATACGAAAATATATTAATTAACGCCCGAGGTACGAATTACACAATACATCCTCGAAACCAGGAAAACAATAAATTATCCAAACTCGGGGTTAAGCATCCTACAAATTTAAAACAAGCACGAGCGTACTATGGACCAGGTACTGACCATGATATCTTTGAGAATATGATTCATATAGTTCCACCTTATTTTGGTACATATAGAATTCGAAACGATTATGCCAATTGTCATGTCAATCGGACTTGAATTGAAGAAGCCTTAGGCTTTTTCGAAGAGCGTGACCCCAAGAAGAAGAACAAGATGAGTAGCGGTTCGCGACCAGCGCCCCGCCGAAAGAAGCTAGCAAGTCATTTATAAAGGACATGCTTTATGTGATGTACTATAAGGGGAATCTTGCCCGGACAACGACACTGCGGCCTACTCTTACTTCGATTTCTGTCAGGGATCTTTAACGTCCGCATTTTTTCTCCATTAAATTGGCCGACGAAGACTTGCATTCGTAATGATTATTCAATTTTGGTCTTATCTTGACAATTCATAAGAATTATCATATCAGTAACGTGACTCGATGTTCCTCCTTAGCTGTATGTCAGTCTCTTATCTATGCAAAAAAGAAGATTACTCGACTTAATTAAATCCAACTCGGTTAAAAATGTCATAACCACCCGACACGGATATCACAATACTCAACGTCTTTATTAGGTGTTATTGTCAGGGGCGGATTGGGGCCGGGAACCGGCCCGGGCTCCCGTGTCAGAGCGGCCCCTTTTACTGACCGCGGAGCCCTGACGGGGGGTCCGGGGACTCTCCCCCTGGAAAATTTTGAAAAATGAACCCCAAATATGCGATTTGGTGGCATATCTGATTATACTCTCCGTCAAATAATATATCTCATAAATCGATTAATTTAGTCCAAAACCCCAACATGCAAGTAATTTACAACCATCAACCTGTGAAATTATCATATCGTCATATTATTAATTAACGTATTATCATTGTATCGTCAAGAGTCAAGAGAATTTAACTGGTTAAAATTCCGAATTCCGGCCCACACCCAGCACACCCGGCCCAGACAGTCTATTATACCAGCCCATTCCAGACTCCAGTGATGGCGTGGCAGCCCGTTAAAGTCACCGGCCACATACAACATGATCATCATCGCTCCATTGCCGGTTCAATACCCCCCCCCCCACCCATATAATGTTCATCAGAAAAAGTTTGTTTTTTTTTAGACGAATTGGACAAAATTATTTTTTTCATTTTTTGTCCGACCGGCCCATCAGGCGATCGCATGGACCAATCCGCCCCTGGTTATTGTGATAAATACTAATCTTAATGTCTTTGATACCTTAACGGTTGATGTTCCATCTGATATCACGATCACAAAGGTGTATTTTGTATTTTGGACAGTACATTTAATTAATCAGCAAGTTACACTATAACAATTTATTTATATAATTCAGTTGACAACTATATCCATAAATTTGATTGAAAAACGGCCCTTTGAGATCAGAATGTTGAGCAATTGTCTATGCTGAACTAGACGGCTTCATTAATAAGTGTACTCCTAAGTGTAATCTTGTTATCAGACCCACTGACAAACCATGGTTGAATTCTCAATTAAGAAAGAAGTTACGCATTCGTGTCCGTCTTCGAAAGCGTGTCAAAAGAACAAAACTAACTTCGATTTCGAGAAATCGTATTAACAATACTGACCGATTCCAAGAAATCAGGGAACTTTTGGGAAAGCGTTAAACGTCGTTTCGGTTATTCTAATCAGACTTTCCCATAATTAACAAAGGCACCGGAAGATGGCATTGCTTTCTCAGACTTTGGAAAGCCGGATTGTAAAATTCCTTCTTCGGTTCCGTATGTGACAATATCAGGGAGTGTGAGTTGCCACAATGTCCTGTGAGGCCGAAATGGGGATTAACATCCACTCGACACAAATCAGGTCATCTCGAGACTAACATAAGGTTCAATTTTAATTCAATAATTCCCTTGCGCGTAGGGGCCTTTAGCAGTGAGATGAAACCAGATGAGCCGGAGGAAATCCAGTAGGTTATACAGGCGACCCCAATCCTTGTCACGTACAAAATGGGAATCCAAATGATACCAATTGACTCAATGGCGGACCTCTGATAAAACGCACACGCGTTAACCATTCAGCCCCCACCCCCATCTAAGCACAAGTAAATGGAAGTCAACAAATATCAGAGCTCTATACAAGAAGAGTAACCGATATTTTGTCACCAATCATCGACCAACATCTTTGCTTTGTACAACTGGTAATTTGTCTTAAAGTCGGGCGTACCCCAGAGTCTAGTCCTTGGGTCGTTCTTATTCATTGTTTAAAACCCCGAAAAAATAAATCACATAAGTTTATTGACGATATACAAATATAAAAAAATATATCCCACATCTAAAATATGTAAATAAAAAAATTAAAATAAATCGAAGAATACTCATTTAAATATGTAAATTGATAAATACACCGAATTCAATTAACCCATTGTTGTATTCAAATCCGTTAACCCAAGAACACGTCAGCAGGTCGTCCTTTAGTACCAAGATCGGTAACTCTAAATACTGACCCGGCCTGATCATCAGTAATATTCACATGACCGGATGTGACGTATAGCTCATCAAAGTTCTTGCCACCCCAACAACAGGAAGTGATTTGGCTTGTGGGAAAATTGATTCTGGAAATCTCTTGGCCTGTAAATATAATGTATGGTAACATTTCACAGTTTAGTTGAAATAAGAATAATAATGAATGGATGAAATGGCGATCAACGGCCTACCTTTCGGCGCCTATACGGGTATACGGTATAGGGGAATTTTGCCCAGACACCAATTGAACTACTAAACAATTTCTGTAGAACATTCGATTCAGAATTGTTTTCGATTTCCAAACAAACAGCACCAAAACATCTGGAAGTCTAATGAATCTTGTCTTAAAATGATGAAGTTTTACTGCTTGTGTTAATGTAACATTTGCAGGTTACATACCCGCGAATCGTCCCACAGATACCCCTCACCCCACCCTTACCTACCCCCTCATCTTGGTAGAATAATCTGAACACTTCTTCGCGTAGTAATTAGAACACGATGATGGTTTGAACTTCGGGTGAAGGGGGTTCCTGTAGATCAAAGCATCGTTAGGTCTGCGCCAACTGGTAAAGACCCTTACGAGCAAGCGAATTATTGGAATTTAATTGAACCATAATGTTAGTCCCGAAATGACCTAGTTTGTGTCGAGTGGACGTTAAACGACATGCCCCCTCTCTCTCTCTCTCTCTCTCTCTCTCTCTCTCTGTCTAGTTTAGGATACTGTAAATTATAACTATTACTGCTAGACAAAAACTAGTTCATATATCTAAAAAAATAATAGCCCACCAGTTTCTGGGTCATAACGTATTATGCAGCTTCCATCATAAAATGCACACCATATTTTGTCGTCTACATCCGAGGTCATTCCATCTGGGTAACCCAAAGTCTTAATGGTGTCTTCTGGGTATTTTACCAAAACTTGTTTGTTTGCTACAAAAACAATATGATCAGCAATATTTGACTATACATCTTTATTAAACTGGGGCTGGGGCGGGGGGTGGGGTGGCCGAATGTCTAAGGCGTGCGCTTTAGATCATAAAGTCTGTCATGAATGATGTGGTTTCGATTCCTATCTTGTACGTGACAAGGAATAGGGTCGCTTGTCCAAGCTCATGGGTTTTCTCCGGGCCCTCCAGTTTCCCCCAGTGAAAATGGGCATACGTCATACAAGGACATGTTGCCTGGACGTTAACGAAATTCAGATTTTTCTTCCACCCAAACGACATGCTGCTGTTCCAACACTATTGACAGGGGACCTTCCCGGCCAATACCCAAAGCGATCGCGAGTCAGTGTCACTGGGCCACCGCGGTTCCCATTAAAAGCTCAAGGTAATGCTTGTGACTGTGTCAGACGTTATGTATTAAAAGATGGCAATGTGAAAGGGATTGACTTTCTGTTTATAACGGAATACTTACTCATGTTGCCAGTTTCAAGATCGAAATCAAAACTCCAGATTTCTCGTGGCATGGTATCAACATAAAACATCTTTGTATTATTGTGCGTCCAAGCTAAACCATTTGATATCGTGATCTTATCTAGATGACGTTTCACCTTCAAATCTTTTTCTAGGGTGTAAAGCGAGGCGACTTCCATTTCCGGAAAGACAGGCTTCTCCATGTATCCCATTGTACCTGCAATAACGAAAGTAGAATAATGACTTTTAGTCCAGTTAAACATATATTATGCAAGAGCTAAATCTGTCTATTGCAGGTCTTTCTTTAGACCTGACATGTTATCTAAATTATTAATTAGACATTAATTAACCTATCCAGACCATAATCAACTCTAGATGGCATCGCTAGCCTGCGATCTTTAGTGGATTGTGAGCCGATTTACTGCATAACTTTCCTTCACGATTTAACGATTAAATGGCTAATCGAGACTATGCTGTTTATCGTACTGACTTTAGTAATGATGATCAAGGCTAGGCGGAAATTCAATCGCTTTATTCTCGGTTCATAGTGGATTCTCTGCAAATTGCCTTTACATTATCTAGTTTTTCAAGTTCCATTTTAGATTTACATTGTAAAACAATAACTGTACTGAAGGATATCGGCGCTAGGAACGGTGGATAGTTACATGTTTATTAGAATATTACTTCCAATTTGTGTAGCTTAAAATGTTCTTGGTTAAGTTCATATAAGATATGACAGAGCCATTAGGCCTAGACTTCAACATCATCTTCATCATGCGGATACAGAGCTACGAAGGACATATATGAGACAAGCGCTTTCAGTCTTAGAAAGTTCTTCAGTAGTGTGTCTGTGATAGCACTAGGCCTCCAAGAACGAACTATACGGACTAGGAAATGCAAGAAAAAAGATTTGTGTTTGTGATTTTAGCTCCTAAAGTTTAGTGTCGGTCGGGTCAACACAGGTATTTTGGTTTTTTTCGGGGGGGGGGGGATATAATCAATAAAGAGACCTTAAATCACAGGTACACTAGAGGAAATATAAAGTTATGATAAATACCTGCCCACAAACGACCGGATGCATCACATTTCCCATCATTAAACCTATTTCTCGTTCCTTGATCCACACTAGCCAGTACTGTACGGATCCCACTCTCCCAATCCAAATGGGATAAATTTAAACCATCGCCAATAACGTACCCACCACTCTTCCGTGGCACTATTAAAGTTGTGGGAACATCTGTAGATAAATTATTCTATATACACTTATATTGCCATGCCATATAAGGAGTGTTCTTGAAAGAGTAAGGATATAATGCCATTTGTTCGACACCTTTCACGCCACATGACGTGGTTAAGGTTGGCGTCCTCCTGGTAATCTTGACCGCTTAACTTCATTTGTCGTGTGTAGTCCTGCTTCTACACTCGTGATTTTCTTCCCAATTATTTAACTTTTCAATAATAGACACCCCTCGACCCACCACCACCCGGCGGAATATCTCATACGTTTTTGATATTTGTATTTGTTATTTGCACGTCATCTACCTTAGTATTGTTATTGCGTCAGCATACTATAGTGTTGTATGTTATCTTTCTTTGTATTTTTATCACAATAGCTTACCATAATGTCGCATGTTATCTAGTCTTGTATTTTTGTTGTTTTAGCTTACCATAGTAACGCATGTTATCTGTTTTTGTTGCATTAGCTTACCATAGTGTCGCATGTCATCTATCTTCGTTAAGGTATTATATCGGTGAAGGTTTCCTGCCTGCAGATCGACATACAGGAGTGTCTGGGTTTCTGGATCCCAGTGTGGTCCCTCACCAACAGTTGTCGCAACATTCTTAATGAACGTTTCTACCTTGTAAGGCATATTATGGGTTGCTGCAGGCGCTAAAAACAACAAAAGTAAATCTATCGGGATTTGTCATGAACGGAGTAGAATCTAAATCAATGAATGAAATGACGTTTAATGTCGTTCCTTCCTGCACCAACCTGGATGATAAAGACGGACATACGTTTCATAGAATCACACCTGCGAGAGGTTCGTTTACGTGCAAGTCTAAAGATACACAGAACTATAACTAGACGATTGTTCTTGCCCTGGACTATGGAAAGCCAGGCTAAGAATTCCGGGTCCATGTTTTAACACAACCTGTCCAAGTTGAACATCTAGACATACTTTTCTTGTCAGCCTCATAGGATTAATTTAAAAAAAAAAATATCTCAGAACTGTGCTTAAACAATCGAATAAATGAATGAAATAGGGTTTAACGTCCTATTTTTCCAACTGTGGTAATGAAGACCGGCATAGGACAACTGTCAAGGTTTCTTTTACGCCAACCTTTTTGGTCGTGTGCCAAAGCTTTACTTATTGACGTACTACGCTACTGTGCTCCCTTGAACAATCGAAATAACACGGTCCTATTCAATACTTACTGAATCTATTGAAATAATCACTCTTTCTCGAACACCCAATAACACATCTCATTTGTTGTACTTTTTCATTGATTATTTTGATATCATTATTGAAATATCAAGAAAAATGAATGCGTGATAATTTTTATATTATTACATGTTATTGAAATGCATCGAGATATTTTGTTCCTTCTCCTCCACACAAAAAATAAACTTTTTCTCGATTTCGACAAACCTACCTTCTAACGACGTATTCAGCTCCAGACTGAACTAATATTATCTCGACCTTTCAAGTTATTTCACCCTCGACCCCTCAATTCTGCCGAGTTGTCAATTTTATTGACATAGTAATATTAGTGAAGGTCAGGGAAGATATATTTTACCAAAACGTTCTGACATTATTTATGTAATCAGGGGCCTAGTTTCATTTGTAACAGGGTTATACACGCGCCACGTACTGTTCGATGATTTTATTATCAACAGAAAAGAAATGAAACAGAGTTTAACGTCCTGCTGTTCTGCTCCAACTGGGCTAATGAAGACGGGCACACGCCATACAGTGTATTATGTCAACGGTTCTTTTACGTGCACGACAGTCTGTACATTGGACCTCGACTAAATAGCTATACATCACAGTGGGTTATGACAGCGACACTATGGTATATTCTTATATCGAATTCCAGCTGCCAGCGGTTATTTTACGTGCACGCCAATGTGTATAAGGGACCTCGGTTTTTCGTCGCGTCCGAACGACTATACGTTGTTTCTTGTCCCTATGTCCTGCATAATTAACCACGGGAATCCATGAGACCTCCTGAGCCACCGCGGCGCCTACGGTTAACAGGGAAGGAGACGAGTATATACATATAAAACATTCTGTCGTTATATAACTATGACGTCAAGAGCCAAGAAAGAAGATTTAAAACACCAGAAGCTGTATCACGTTAGCTACATTTTTCCTAGTCCACCAGCGTACGTACTAGATCAACGAAGACAGCCGCCTGTGTTCGTTGCCATGTAATGTAGCTGATAATATCCACTATGTCCTCTCCTATCACTTCCCAAGGTCTAATGTCATCGTCCTGATGGAATTTGTTTTATAAGGCTTCAATATAATGAGATTGCTCCTCGAGTGAATCCAGCTGGGAGCAAATAGTCACCATCAGATGGTCAGCCATACAACTTGGAGCTAGTGGTCACCCATACATCTGGGAGCAGGTAGTCAATCTAACAATTAGGAGCGGATGGTCACCCGTACAACTTGGAGCAGGTGGTCACCCATACATCTGGGAGCAGGTAGTCAATCTAACAATTAGGAGCGGATGGTCACCCGTACAACTTGGAGCTGGTGGTCACTCATACAACTGGGAGCAGGTAGTCAATATAACAATTAGGAGCGGATGGTCACTCGTATAACGTGGAGCTGGTTGTCACCCATACAACCGTGAGTAGGTCGTCAATCTAACAATTAGGAGCGGATGGTCACTCGTACAACTTGGAGCTAGTGTTCACCCATATAACTGGGAGCAGGTAGTCAATCTAACAATTAAGAGCGGATGGTCACCAGTACAACTTGGAGCTGGTGGTCACCCATACAACTGGGAGTAGGTAGTCAGTCTAACAATTAGGGGATGGTGGTCACCCGTACAACTTGGAGCAGGTGGTCACCCATACAACTGGGAGTAGGTAGTCAATCTAACAATTAGGGTTGGTGGTCACCCGTACAACTATGATCGTAAATAATACCAGTCGTTCTAACTTGGGCACGTAATATCCCCGGACACTTGGACGTCCATATCAGGAGCCGAATCGATTGGGTACAAAACAACACACATAAGCGCCTGAGTTCTTCTTGTGAACACGTTAGTATAAAGTAGATCAAGTAGTATATAGGGACAATAAAGATTGGACGATAAAATAAATAAAACTGAAATATAAGATTTTGTCGAACAGACATAATGTTGACAGTCGTACTGTTCGATATTATATACCCTACTTTAGTAACAGCCGTCCTTGATTATTTTACTGCTGTCAATCGTAATATATATTACAAACAGCTGACCTTGTTTATTTTCCAGTCGGAGCAGAACAGTAGGACGTTAAACCCCATTTCATTTATTTTACTGATATGATGACTAGGTGTGTGTGGCTTCAAAACACTACAAATACGACAAATGCTGCGATGTATCGACTGGTCGTAACAACTCTGATGTCTTAGATTTTGTGATCGGTATTACTGGGATTGATTAACAAGTCATCCAAATATTACCTCAATTCTTAACTATACAACGTTATCGTCCCTGTCACCGAGACTTTGTGAAATTACGATGTAGACTAGTACATTACCAACCAAAACGATGGCACAAAAAACAGAAGGTGCCGGGTTCGATTTCTGTGTTGGTCGAGGGGTTTCCTCGGGCAAGGCATCTCCTGTCAATGGCGGAGGACATATGAGCTGGCAGGAAACACTGTCCAGCTGTTCGGTAGAATAAAAAAAATCGAGGTCCAAGGTACACATATGTGAGCACGCAAAAGAGTATATCTTCACCTAACAAAATAAAAATTCACACATCTTAAATACCCACCTTTGTACTGAAAGCAACAAAAGATGCCAAATGATATATTGCTGTTTTAGGACAGGACTATATATATATAGTTTGTTTGCATGTGGAAACACTTGTATGTTACGTATACATTACAACAACGAAATAATATATGCCTTGGCAAACAAACATTGGGTTTTTGATTTCTCAAATTTATGCAAGATCAGCTCAACTAGATATTAAGATATACTTATCTCATACAAATATATAATTACTAGCGGGCACAAATATTACTATAGATGTAGCACGGTGTTATCTCGAAGACTGTAGAGTCTGGACGGAACAGGCGAATATGGTATACTCGGAGACCTATAAAAATATAAATGATCTCGCATAGTGTTTGAAGGCCATGTTTAGTCTTAAATCGAAGTAGTTTGTGATGAATTGGTAAGATTACCACAAAACCCAATCTGCGCATAAGTTAGGATATACATCTTCTCGAGAAATGATGATTTACAGCTAGTTTTCAAAACTTGGAGAGAATCCCCCATCCCCACCCTTTAGTGTGCGGGCCACTAGCGGGGACAGTCGTATGGGCCTGGGGATATTTGAGCAGGTCTACTCTACAGAAAAGTTGGTATAGCTAATTTCAAAGACGTACGCACGCCATGCACTTTGCTGTAAGGGAAAATGTTGTCCTAACAGTGATGCTAAAATATATTCCAATTTCGATTTCCAACTATCCATGGAAAACACGGGTGCTCGATCTGTCGACCTATTCTAATAGCCAGGTGCGTTTTCCGTGCCAGATCCTCCTTCCTGCACCAATGACAAATGGTAAACAGTAACTACAAAGCACGCCCTGTTTAGTGAGCAAGTGCTATAATAACAGTGTCAACACCATTCTATTCACCGTTACAGATTATAATAGTTTGTGGAACAAGAAACAAGAGAAATGTTATGGACACGCCCTTTGATATTCATACATAAAGCCTGGACCTGACGACCCCGCTCCGTATACAAGCACACTGATGCGTTAATTAGGTATATCAAAAAGCCAATAAAGCTCCGAAAAATACCGATAACATCAGACTAGTAAAGAGGAGAAAGAAAGAAATTGGGTTTAACGTCCACTCGACTCATGCTAGGTAATTTTGGGACTAACACAGGGTTAATTTTTATTTTAATAATTCGCTTGTGCGTAGGGGTCTTTAGCAGTGAGAGGAAACCGGTGCACCCGGAGGAAACCCACGAGGTTGGACAGGCGACCCTACTTCTTGTCACGTACAACCGGGGATTCAAGACTAGTAAAGGGGAGTGTCTCTTGGGGCGTTCGAATTATAGATTAACACGTTATTAATTCATATGGTAGTATTATTGTTATTCATTACAGTATTATTACATTTACATCGAAATGGTGTGTTTATAATGTTGTATACAAACGAAATAGGTTAATTAAAGGGACATTATGGAAGATTAGCTAAAGAGCTTGTACTTCGCAATATAATAGTTAAAAAATAGATAATGTAAAGGGGATGAGCTGAAAATTTCAGTCAAATTGCTCTACTCTAAACTGAGATATTACCTTTTGAATTTTAGGTCTAGCCTCGCTCATCATTGGTACGATAAAAACATACTCTCGATTATCCATTTTGGATTAAATCATTAATGAGCGTTGAGCAACAAATCGGATTCAAGTCCAGTGAAACTCTGACACATAAGACGGCATCCAGGGTTGGTTAAGGTTTGTTCATGTTATTAAATGTCTAATTAATAGTTTATATGACATTTCAAGCCCCAAAAAGGCCTGCAATAGGCAGATTTAGGTCTTGCATAATGTATTTTTAATGTCCTCAAGGGGATCCTGATTAGATAAATACGAAGTATTTTAAAGGGGAACTTAAACTATTGACAAGGTCCTGATTAGGTAAATCTGAAAATCAAATAAAGCGACATACATGTTTTAACCTTTCATTTAAAAGTTGTATGCATTTAATAGTGACTTATCCACCGCACATTCTTAATACGGTCGGAAGGCCAGTGTTCAATTAAAGGCGTCTATGGTTATCTTAAATTCATTTGACGATGATTATGTCCCTTTAATACGACGGTCTTCGAACTAGACTAAACCAGGTTGAACTAATCGACCCAAAAACAGAATCATATCGGTCGAGTTGTCTTTGATGTAAAATAAGAATGGGTGATCGGCGGTAAAGCTGGGTGGTAACATCTTTGTGGAGATGCCTACTGCTCCAGCAGCTGCCGCCTCACTTCCCTCTTCGTTTACGACAATGAATGTCTTGTGGAAAACATCAGAAACAAAGAGGTTTCTGGTGCCATCGATCTTTGATAAATCCGCCTTTCCTGCAATAAAAGCTTCCTCGATCCCCATCGAAGTCAGACTGTCTATCAACGTCATAGATGACTCAATGCTAAACCGTGGTATACGAATCTCAACTTCATCAACTGACATTTCCGTCTGAAGTTTGGATAAAGCTGCTGAATCGAGCTTCGCCTCTAAGTCTTTTAACCCATCCATTACTAGTGGAAGCACTATAAGCATACTCAGGTCTTTGTTTTGATACGGGATTTCTAGTATCTGACAATTTAGGGAAGCAGAGTAACCGAAGTTGAATTTCGCTTCTTTCCTCATAAAATTGACCTCTAGTGACTCATTCTCATTCAAATGAAACGAATCTTTTATTGTAGTAGCCCTATCAAATTTGACGTCCCAGTCGCCTTTAAAGTAGATGGCGTTCACCAGTACCAGGGCAGTATCAGAGGACAGCGATCCTTGAGGAATCAGTTCTTGTATTTTTCCTTTTGTTTCCCCTTCCACCCATTGATTAATTGTTGTTCGCCCGGCCTCGGCATCGTCTTCAAATCTCAAAGTTACGGCTTCGGCGTTGAAGTTAGTTTTACAGCTCTGCTTGAAGTCCTCTAAAACGGTTCCCTTGGATTGTAGATAAAGCCGGTTGGCAATATTAAAATATTTTAAAGGAACTTTGTTGATAAACTGTTGGTAAGCTTCTTGGGTGCCTTCTTTCAAACCATCCAATTTTAAGGCAGACTCGAATTGTTGTTTGGTATTGCCTGCAGCTCCTACATAGGTCATTGAGAGTATACTATGAAGACAGAATGGTGATATAAACACATTTTGAGGACTTTTTGGAGACGTAACCACCGACTTGTACAGATTTAACCCAAAGTCGTTGCTGGCTGTGGACAGAGACCCGACAACACCCGCCATTATTCTGAAAGAACAAAAGAAATGTTGATACAATCATTGGTTTCTTTCCTATCCCAATCTATAATGAATTACATGTATTAATGAAATGAAATGAATGGGGTCCGACATTGTTGAACTAGGGGGTTGGATGGCTGAATGGTTAGCACGTGCGCGCTGTATCATAAGGTATGTCATTGAGTCAACTGGTGTGATTTCGATTCCCCGTTCTACGTGACAAGGAGTAGGGTCTGGTGTCCAACCTCGTGGGTCTTCTCCGGGTCCATCGACTTTCCTCCCACTGCTAAAGACTACTACGCGCAAGCAAATTGTTGAAATAAAATTGAACCATGTGTTAGTGCCGAAATGACATAGTTTGTGTCGAGTGGACGTTACTCGCCCCCCCCCCTCTCTCTCTCTCTGGCATTGACCTGTCTAAGAGGATACTTGTTGAAACGTTGCACTATTAAATTTGCTAGTGATTGTTATCCAGTGATTGTTATATTGCTAAACTAACCAAGATCAAGCAAGGTGAGCATACGCTATGCAGTGTGATATGTGATATGTGGAAAAGCTTCCCTTATTCTTCGTCCAGTTACTACTGCCAACATGTACACAAAGCCTCTGCGTCGCGTACTATACGAATGATTAGACGCTATTGGCTCTCAAGACCCGCACCTTACACCAGTGACAAGGGTACAACCAAGCCGGAAAATCGCCAGGAAACTGGGATCGAACATATGATTTTAAATTCCGAAAAGTAAAAGGTTGAACCCCCTCATTTTATTTCAGGTCCACGATCCTTTAAGATATTGCATAATAAACGTTTAGATTAACATGTATTAACGTTATAAGTACATGTTATCGGGGGCTGATTGGTTTGCGCGTGCGCGTTGTATCATAAGGTCTGTCATTGAGTTAACTGGCGTGATTTCGACTCGCCAGTTCTACGTGACAAGGAGTAGGGTCGCCTGTTCAACCTCGTGGGTTTTCTCTGGGTCCTCCGGTTTCCTCCCACTGCTAAAGGCCCCTGCGCGCAAGCGAATTATTGGAATAAAATTGAGCCATATGTTAGTCCCGAAATGACCTAGTTTGTATCTAGTGGACGTTAAACCCCATTTTTCTCTCTCTCACGTTATCAGATATGATTTTAAGTGCAGAAAAGTAAAAGGTTGAACCCGGTTATATTTAATATCAGTGATACCTAAAGATAATGCATATTAAACGTAATGGGGCTAATGAAGCCCAAACATATATACCAAAAAAAAGAATTCTTGTTAAAGGAGCTAGACCTCTTAGCCAATATTTTCTTTAATGTTTGAAATTAAAAAGTCTATAATTAGAATTCAATATTGGTCCAATTAATCAATATTGATGTTATTATCTTTCTATAAAAGTATGGGGCCATAATATCCAATATTTAAGACACAGTGGACATTTTAAAATCAGTACACGAGTCGTATATTCTATGGTTCGGTTGTTATTTGTAATGAATAAATAACACATATCCTACAAGGCAATACGGAAGTAATTAGTAATGGCTGATCACCAGGAACAATTAAACAACTGACACTTAATTTCACCTAACACACTTCGTTTTTAAAATTGAATACAACTCATTTTACACACACTCATATTACATTAATATTTTCTTTTAAACCCATGTTTGTCTATATTAAGATTCCGAAAAATAGACCCGTACACCCTTTAATATTTACATATTATTGTCTAAATTGTAATACTATTTTTGGCAGATTTTGTGAAATGGCACTTGTCCACCTTATGCAATAGCATCCTCAATTCCCGAAGATCCTGCTTAGTGAGTCAGTGCCTTAGTTACGGACCTACAATGACGGTTATTTTTTAATCATTGACAGGTCCTACTTGTAATCTAGATAACACACACACATACACATGTATGGCCTAGAAATGAGATAATATAACTCTACTTAACTTAAAGGAGCTAAGTCGCTAATATTTGGGATCTAGAAATTGATACAAATGGGTCGCAATGCATATACTAATTTACTATAAATGTATACAAACTGATTTACATTCAATCGTTTCCGTTTTGTCTCTAATTCCAAATAAGTTATCGACACAAGTCTCAATCGAATGGCAATCTCTAGCGCCTCAATTATTCCAGTCTACACCCATAGCATGCTCTCCAGATAAGAATATGACGTCACCGGATGACATGACTTGTGGGAAGCGACAATTATACAAATCAGAATAATGTGTTGTCATAAATCAGCCTTTAATCAAAGAAATTGTTGAATATGCATTTTAATTTATACATTTAAGCCTTATAATTGCTTTCGAAACTTTTGGATACTGTCCATTGTTTATCCCATTTACCCTAAACAAGAGTTATCGCGCAAGTCAAGAATCATTAAGTTTGTGGGTGTGCAGGTATATGTGGGACAGAATGGAGTTCAACACCCACTTGACTAACTTGTGTAGGGAGAAAGAGAGAGAACTTTAGTTTAACTTCCACTCGAGAAACACTAAGTCATTTTGGGATTCAATAAATCGCTAGGGCTTAGGACACTGTATGGCCCAAAGACAACCTTCGGGGTCGGACAGGCGATTCCACTACCTAGGTTATTTCGGGACTAATATATGGTTCAATTTTATTTCAAAAATTGGGTTGAAACAATAAGTTTGTAGAGGACCTACCATAATAACACATGCTATATTATAACACAATATAACTCCATTGATAACAAATTATCTGTAAGGCATGTGGTGATAGGAAACACAGCATTATGGATAACATTCACTAGCAACTTTAAAACTGCAACGTTTCAACAAGTATCGTCTTAGACAGGTTGATGTCAGGCAAAAATGACGCCGATCTTTAGTCAAGGATAACAAACTATGTATATACTTTGGAAACCATACTTTGGACACTAAGAAATTGAATCAAAATTTATTGTATTAACTATTTTTTAGCATGAGCAATGCTATATCAGTGGACAGCATTGGCGGCCATCTTGGATTTTTGTATGAACCAAAGATTTCAGTGAAATAAAAATACAAATGTGGATTCATTGACCTCAAATACCTGTGCCTCGAAACCAAAATTATAATCATATCACACTCAGACCTAGAGTTATAGCAATTTATGTAAGTGCGGCCATCTTGGATTTAAATGTATTAAAGTACCTACTGTTACTTTTTATGACTTAATTATCTTTCTGTATCATAAAAGGCCACACTCCGTTGCAAAAAGAAAATGAATAGGTAAAAACAACTCTCAGAAATAGCGTTTTAGCTATTCTGGTAGCAATTGTGGATTTTTAGCCGAAATCTTGGATTTAAAGAAAATTTCAGGGTGGCCCACAAGCTTATTTGAAAGAGTATGTTCCAATGTATATAAAGCCCGTGAGAAAACCTTAGCTAAAAACGGCGCCATTTTTGCCTGGCATGGGCTCAAAGTAAAGGATAATATGATACAAATAGCTGGGAGTGAGCATTTATCTATAAAAGCATAAAAGAGGTCACAAAGACAAGAATACATTAAAAGTTATGATTAGAAGCTCGAGGTTGACAAAAGCTTAAATATACACTATGTAAGATTTAGATAAGAACTAGCCATTCTGAATATAATAGTTCGAAAATAGATAATGCAAAATAAATATATTGAAAATGTCATTCAAAGATATTAGCCTTTGAAGGTTTGGCAAGACGTGTGTATTAATTGCATCCACCGTACTGGTTGTTTGGAGCTAAGCCCCACTTCTCCATTTTAAATTAAATTAAAGCGAAGTCTCGATTATCCACCAACTAACCGCCAAGGTGATTTAATTAGTTAGTGGGCGCGGTGTTCTAATCTACTTTATATCGGATAATAGTTGATATAAGATTTCAGGCCTAAAGAAAGACCTGCGGTAGGCAGATTTAGCTTATGACACTAGTGTTACTTTAAGACGAGATAGATTGTTTCTAAGAACGACTCCACGGGAGGTAGACTATATACGTATACGATCGTTACAGATATATGATGCATACAATTAACACAATATATAATAGCATGTTACTCTATTCATATTACCAGTGCGCACACTGATATCACTCTGCGGTTTGTATTTAACTTCATTTTAAACAAGGTTTTAATACTTACATATATTGTTATATCCTGTGAACTTGTATCTCACTACCGGAATAATTGAGAATTGTTGTACAGTTTTAATCAATAAACGGCCCACGTTACTTCGATATTAATTTAGTACATGACATTTATGATATTGAAAGTACTGAATGGTCGTAAAATAGCCTACTTGAGATCAACTCTAGAAGCCGTTGGGTCGGGAGTAGCATGTCATTTTTATTGATACTTATAGTCATTATGAATGGGTGTAGTCCCCTAGATGACGATATGTTATGAGTAATGTTATCAGTTATGGAAAGGCGTAGTAATCAAGTGAGGTTGGGTGGCTGAATGGTTGAACGCATGCACGTTGGGTCGCCTGTCTAACCTGATCAGTTATCTACGGTTCCTCCGGTTGACTGCCACAGCTAAAAACCTATGCGCACAAGCGAATTATTGCAATACAATTGAAACATATATTAGTCCCAGAAAGATAAAAAAAAAAAGAAAAGTGTAAAATAATATAAACATAGTATTTAAGAAACGAATAATATAGATTAGCATTATTTAACTTCGATCGACATTTAACTTGGCGTGCCTGTTGCTTGGATCATTGTGATTCCAATATGGCATTGATGACGTCATTCGTGCTTCATGGGTCGCATGGTAGTATCGTAATTGTTACATTTATGTAAAAATATTGCCAATTACTTTATCTAAGTAATAAATTAAATTTATTGTAGTAAGTATATCAGCATAGCAATTTCTAGATGAAGAGTTAGAATTATGTCGCATATTCCGCCCCATACTAAACAACATGAGAAACGTTATTACAGGGCGCGGTCATAAAACAAAAATAAGAACAAAAAAACCAAAAAAACAACTAAATAAAGCAGAACATGTAAAATAATATAAATGACGGATACACTTTAAACCAAATTATATAATACTCCACACGGAACATCTAATACCACTATTCAGAAAGTAGTAAAATAATATAAAGACACATAAAGAGAGATAGAGAAATGGGGTTTAACGTCCACTCGACACAAACTAGGTCATTTCGGGACTAACATATGATTTAATTTTATTTCAATATTTCGCTTGCGTGTAGGGGTCTTTAGCAGTGGGAGGAAACTGGAGGACCCGCAGAAAACCCACTAGGTTGGACAGGCGACCCTAGTCCTTGTCACGTACAACCGGGGATTTGAAACCGCGCCAGTTGACTCAATGACAGGCCTTATGATACAGCGCGCACGTGCTAACCATTCGGCCATCTAACCCCCCAAAGACACATAAAGGAATGAAACTGAGTGAAACAGTAGCTAATACAACATATAATATTCGATAATATAAAATCAGAATGAAGACGCATTCAACTAAAAGAAACAAATTATCTAATGCCGAAATGAAATCAAATGAGGTTTAACGTCCTTCTGTTCTGTTCCGACTGCGCTAATGAAGAATGGCATACACCAGGCAGTGTGCTATGAGGGAAATTTTGTCCGGACAGCGGCGCTACGGCCTACTCTTATATCTTATTTCGAATTCTAACTGTCAAAGGTTCGTTTATGTGCACGTTAATATGTACACGGGACCTCGGTTTTTCGTCAAGATCTAATGACTTTACGTTGTCCTTTACCCGGCCTCCATCCTACACCACTGACAAGGGGTGGGGGCACGCCCATCTAGGGTCTAACGTCTTACTCTTCTGCACCAACCGGGTTCATGGATGAGGGCATGTGTGATACTAGGCAGGACAAGTTAATCTCAAACATGGATTGACCCCGAACAGATTGCAAGAGAAACCAATACAGTTTGGTCCAGTTATCGGTGGCTAAGTGGACAAGACGCTGGCTCGCTATCCTGGTGGTTGCGTGTTCGATCGCTCCATTGGCCGAGAAAGTTCATCGGAATTTTCCGACGTTGTGTCCCATTGTCAGTGGTTCAGGACGGATGACCTGACTAGTTAAATATGTACATAAGCTAGAAACACCAGGATATAATCTAGACATGACTATTCACATGCACCTCTGGGCGCCCGGTTGAAGAGAACACTCACCCCACCCGGACTCCATCTCCATAGACCCTAGCCCTCTGGTATCACTTAGACCTATAGTAACCACGGCTTCATTTAAATATGGTATACTAACTAAATGTGGTCGAACTAAAAATAAATTGTTTATTGGAATTTTCGACGAAACTGAAATGTTTGTTTTGCATAGTATTTTTCTGAGGAGAAAGTTATTCACTCGTGGCTCGTGATTGGTACAAGACACCCTATGTCCAAATTTAAAAAAGCAGATATTTGATGTTGCAGTGAAACCATTTGTATTTAGGACACCTATTTCACGCAAAATTATTTCAAACCTGTAAAACTTTCCCCTCGAACGTACAATAAAATTTCAATTAAACGGAAACGTTCTTGCAGCTGTAAAAAACTCGATCAAAATATCATGTGTTAATTTATTTGATAATTTAAAGTCTACCATGTAATACGAAAATTGGCAACACGTTTCAACACCATATCTTTCTTCATGAATGATAATAAATTGTTTATTCGGTAAAGCGGAAACATATTTGTTTTGTGTTTTGTAGATAATATACAAGTTATCATTCAGCATGGTGTATTTCTACTTATGATTAAAGTAATCAAATAATACAGAAATTTGCAACACGTTTTGACGTTCTATCCATTTTCAGAGATGGGCTGAAAAGGAACACTGTAAAACATTTATGTTAAAAAACGGGAAAATTACTGTATAAATTTACAGAAATCAACTGTAAAATTACATTACGGGTAATTAGTCATAAAATAACGAGCAATTTACTGTAATCTTGTGGTTTACGTGCATTTTTTTGTAAATTAACGGTATTTCTATAAATGTACAGCACATAACATATTAACACCAAAATACCCGTAGCTTAAAGTGTATATTATAACCTATATACCAACTAGAGCAATGGCTAAGGGTGTATATTAGTAGATACAAGTATGCTTATTCTACTGCTGTACAAGGTACCAAAATTACACCCTCGAAATTAAAGATGCATTATGTAAAAGCTAAATCTGCCTATCGCAGGTCTTTTTTCTGGTGGCTTCAAATGTAATACAAATTAGTATTTAGACAATTATGGGAGACGCGATGACTCAGTGAGTAGGATGCTGGCTCGCTAACCTAGAGGATCGCGTTGGCCGAGAAAGTTCATCGGGATTTTCTGGCGTGCTTCCTCCTTGTCAGTAGTGCAGAACAAAAAACCGAGGTCCCGTGTACACATTGCCGTGCATGTAAAAGATCCCTTGGCAGTTGGAATTCGATATAAGAGTAGGCCGTAGCACACAGTATGGCTTATGCCCGTCTTCATTAACCCAGTCGGAGCAGAACAGTAGAACGTTAAACCCCATTTCATTTCATTTAGACATGTATTTACATAACAAGAACAAGCCCATAATCAACTCTCTAGACCATCGGGTGGCTCCGATTTTAAATAGATTAGAACACCGCGCCAATTCAAAAATTAAAGCACTAAACTGTTAGTTGTTGGATAATCGAGACTTCGTTTATTATCGTGGGAATATAGTGCTTTGGCAATCGAGACTTTGCTCATAACTGCGCCCAGAATAAAGTAATTTGACTGAATTTTTCAATATATTCATTTTACATTATCTATTTTTTAACTATTATAGCGAGAATTGTCAGTTCTTTATCTAAATCTTACATAATGCATCTTTAAGCTGTAAACAGGTATAATTGATTATCTTTTTGGGGCAATTATTGTAAAATAAGCCTATATGTTTCTGATTAGGCCTACGCAGGTAAATTCAAGATAACACCATCCTGTAAGCTTACAATTATGTTTTCTGCATTGGTTTAATTTCCCACTATAAGACATTTATTTGCGGGCCTAAACAAATATCAGATGCAGTCGTATTATTAATGTCTGATGTCTCATGCCGACGTATTTTTATCGTAAAGCAAAGTCTAAACCTGCAGAGCATGTCATCACAGTGATGTACTTATACCTAAAACCAAAATCCACGAAGCATAACAAATCCAAGTTTAACCATTTTATGTTATACATCTATAGGCCTACGCATAATTAAATTCACTTGACAAACACTATTTCCATGACAACATTATAAGTAGGCCTAGGCCCGGCACAAAGCGATAAGTCATACAAACTGATGAAGTCTACGTTAAGGCAGATTCTCTACTGTCACGGAAATTGTTGAAGTTGTCCGAATGATCAGACATTCTGAACAATCAATTATTCAAGAATTAAATCTTTTACTTCACGGAAAGTCATGGTAACAATATTGTTTCAAATTATCTTCCATTTTATGTATACAAATATTGTATTTATGTCGTATTAGACCTACCGATTTCTATAGTATTTAATAGAAATCGGTGATAAGACCTATTATAGTGTACTTGACAACCGCATACAATGGCAGTATACTCCTAGGTACTAAAGATGCTAAAGAGGTGCTTGACAACCGCGTGTATATATCCGGTAGATGGTAGTTAAAAGCGGGAAAAGCAGAAAGAGAGAGAGAGAAATGGGGTTTAACGTCCACTCGAAACAAACCAGGTCATTTCGGGACTAACGTATGGTTTAATTTTATTTCAATAATTCGCTTGCGCGTAGGGGTCTTTAGCAGGGGGAGGAAACCGGAGGACCAGGAGAAAACCCACGAGGTTGGACAGGCAACCCTACTTCTTGCTACGTACAACCGGGGAATCGAAACCACGCCAGTTGACTCAATGACAGACTTTATGATACAGCGCGCACACGCTAACCATTCAGCCATCCAAACCCCCGAAAAGCAGAAAGACATTAGGCCTACTGAGTATTCTTAGAAATTATAATCAAAACGCATCCATTCTAACTGAAATATGTTCCCCGCTGTTAATATCACATACGGTGAGTATATATACGTTAAATGATACATGTGCCATGAAACATGTATGAATGTCAACATTGCAATTTTTCCACAGAAGCTGTTGGACAATATGTCTACCACTGCAGCTGTCATGCAAATGAACCCAACGTGAAGTTTAATTGATGTAAAGAGTTGTGTAGTTATCAGTCTAACGTCCTATGCTGCATTTAAATCGCACATGTTAAGAAAACACTATAAAAACAATGATAGGGTTATAAGTAGGCATAGTTTTGGCACTAACAGTAACAGTATTAGTAATAAT